TGGAGAGTCGTGTCAGGTTTGGTGGGGTGGACCACTTACTGGGGTGGGCCGCTTACTGGTGGAACACGTTATGGTAAGGCTAGCCATTCAGAAAGCGGTCTGCTTGACCGTTTCTCATACGCCCTCCAGAGTAATACGGTATACAGCCTCCACCAAAAGTGAGACTTGACAAGAATGATGGCGCACTAAGAAGTTGAATGACATGAGAGAAACAAAAAACGTGAGCAAAGCTGAGCGCAGCTGTGGGTGGAGTACCAACTTTGCTGACTGCTATTCCTGCGGTGTAGCACTGAGGCATTGCTCAGGCAAAGCCATCAATGGATTTCCAAGATGCCACACCGAGGCTGCACGAACAGAGAGAAGTATAAGAGAGACAGAATTCTGCGTTGAACAGAGAATCATCACAACACATTCCAACACAGCTTCTACAACAAGAACAACTTTCTTACCATCCTCCATTTCCAATCTTCCAATCCTCTCTCTTCAACTTTTCACCAAACAACACTTCCAACCATCAAAATGAAGGCCTCCATGATCATCTCTTCTGCTGCTCTCTTCTTCGCCGGTGCTCTTGCCGCCCCAGCGACCGCCCGCTCTGCTTCCACCGTTTTCACGGTTCAACTCGCCAACGACCTCTCTGGCAAGAACGCCAACGCCGATGTCCCCGTCAACGGCGGAGCCCGCACATTCGGCCAGCTCTTCGGTGCTGCTTTTGGCCCCAAGGTCCTCGCTACTTCAATCCAAGCCGTGAGCCCCGGTGCCGGCGGCAACAACGTGCAATGCGTCCTCATTGACCCTGCCGCCCCAGCCTTCGGTGTGGTCCTCAACTCCTGGAACACCTTTGTCGACCTCGACGGCAACGTTGACAAGGCTATTGAGACCGATGTTACTGCCTTCACTATCGAGTGCTTCTTGTAAATGGGTGATTCGGTAATGGAGCATAGAGATGGGGGCTGGTGACGATCTTCGAGGACATTCCTTATGAGTAGCATTTACTTTGCATAGCGCTTTGGTGTTTTTGTCTTTTGTTCCGAATATCTACATTCCTTGGATGTTTATTAGAATTACTAGTAGTTAATATCATTCCTTTGCGAGTTTCTGCAGGACTCGTGTGCATAATTTCTGAAATGGTCCTTGGCTTTTGTGAGAGATAAGCATCCAAGAAACCAGCGGAGCCAACATACTAAATTATAAGACAAAAAAAGCTCCTCAGCAGGAAAAACCCACTTTACTCGCCACTATCTGTCGTAAATAGCTACAGCGTGAGAAACCCACTAGATGGACTTCAGGTATCGTGAACTTGGACATCAGTAATCAGAACGATGTGGGAGGAAACAGTTAACGGGTTTTGTATCAATGATGTGTGCTTCAGTGGAACAAAGCGTGGTTGCATATTTACTGAAGAAGAAGAGGCTATTTACAAAGCAACAAGTATTCACAAGAACAAAGACCTAGCCCAATTTTCATATCACATCATGCGTTGCAACTGGCTGCAGGGTCACATCACGGCTTGAACATCTGAGTAAGCTTAGCCAGAGCAAACACCAGCCTTCTGGGGCTCGCAGCCACCAGCACAACCAGTATACATCTGGCATTTGACTTTTGCGTCAGAGCAGACGTTTCTTAGAGTAGCAGTGTCGCCGTAGTTGCTGTTAATACCGGCCAACTCGTTTCCTTTGACGGCAGTAACACCCTCGATGTAAACGTTACGCTTGCATTGCGTGGAGCACTATTTGATTGGTCAGTCACAGTTCCGTGAGGCTTGTAACTGGATCGAAAAGACTTACGTTTCCGCAAGAGCGGTAAAGCTTGCCGTAGTTGTTGACGTAAAAGTTGATAATGTTAACGGTACCGCAGCCGTTGTGCTGAACAACCTTGTCTGAGGCGTGGTAGGCACCGCCACCAATGATCCAAGATTCCTTGCCCGGCTTGTCCGACTTGATGGAGATAGCGTCCTCACAGACATCCTCGAACCAGACATACTCGAGACGGCAATGGCCCTGGCAATGGACACCCTCGGCCTAAGGCGAGTTAATTGGTGTCCTCTCTGCTGTTTTCTGTGAATGAGACTCACCTGATTCTTTCCAATGATTACGTTGCGGAGAGTGGCACCTTCCTTCAGCAAGAATACAGCGTCCGAAGCTCCTCCCTCGGTCTGACCGGAACAGGCACCGCTACCACGATCATACCTGTACCATTTACCGTCAAAGGTCTGGCCAGCCGCGATCTCAATGACTTTGCTGTTGGTCTTGGTGCCGACAGCAGCAGGTACACCTCCAGTGTATCCATTGCAGGCAAGAGCTGTAGGAAGGAGAGCTGTAATGATAGCGACGAGTCCGGCAAATCTCATGTTGAAAATAAGGTCAAGATATTGTGAATTTGTTGATCCAGGAAGTGAATGAACCCTGAGTTAATGCAGGTTGTTATGAAAGCTTTAAAAGTAAATTGGCTATGCTAAGGAATGGAAGACTTAGCCGGCGGGTCTCATTCGCATTCCCAAGTAGTTGATCATCGCTCTGTCACCTTCCTACCTCATCTTCACCAGACCTACTGTTGAGGCCTCCTCAAAAACTCTAGCCTACCCATCTTACCAAATCAGGAGCTCCACCCTTTGTTTCTCCGCAGCTCATTCGCGGAACTCCACATGGTTATCGTACTCGCTTGGCAGTGGATCCTCCGCCCGACGCTACAGAGCAGCCAAGGAAACGATTGATGTTAGGGGTTGCATTCCAAGAAGTTTATAACACAGAAAACTGGAACACCTTATGGTTGGTTATACTAGCGTGTTGTTTGTACAAATGCAAGGCTGAGGGCTGCGAACATTCCATCACCTATCTTCGGACAATTTAATGCGCCAACCGCCATTTCGCCACTTTGCATGTTCATACAGATGGTTCAAGTAGGTGTTTACAAAAGAAGGTCAAATAATGCTACAATACTACAGACGTCTTGGACATCGTTGAAGCAAAACAAAAGGCCCGCGGACTCTGAGAAAGTACATATTGTAATCCAACAACCATGGACGACTCTTGTAATTAAAAACTGTACTATACATAAAAGTGATTGGCTTAAGTTGAAACCTCGCCTCAGCCAAGAGTTCTGGAATACGCAGATCGGGCTTGCGCGAATGTCTGATCCACATAGGGTTGCCATTTGTGCCAAAACCAACTATTGGCCAGAATTACTTGAATGCATATGCATGTGAGTACACTAGATATTTCTGGGCTCTGTAAGTCAAGGCTCACAAGAATGAGCATGGTGCAGAATTCATATACGCATGCAGTAGTCAATATCGTGGGCATGACAGCGTTTCGTAACATGATAACTAACATGACAGAAATCTCACGCCATATGACCAAAAGATCATAGCTATTTGCAAGGTTTTATTTGAGAAATAAGTAACCACATGCGGTGTCTCCTTTATGTTACGTATGATATGAGCAATCCCTGATCACATCACATGACTTTCTTGACTGGAGGAACATCAATTCTACGGTCTTGAAAAACTAGACTGGTCCACAAAGGAGATAATACAATCAACATATCTGCACAAGGCCACCAAATCATCCTAGTTAATCTTTATCCCTACCTTCTGGCGCCCTGTCCCACTACGTAACAACTAGCTCAGTAGTGAACAGAAAGGCAACTAGCATTTCTAGGTGCATTGTGACTTGCGTGCAGCACATTGCATTAGCTTCGAGTACTCCAGGTTCCGGAGAGAACGTGCCAAATGCTTGGACGAAGACGGAACAATATCGAGGCTCCCCGGAATTTCCACGAATAAGCAAGCGGTCAGCTATCATAGTTGTATATCTGATTACATTGTTACTACACCATGGTCTAGACCTTCGAATAATGGGTGCCTCAGTGCTTACAACTCGATTGACTGATGATCAAACTCAGCCTTCTTGGACCAGACTAGGAAACTGCGGCCTGTTCACACATAGCTCGATATGTGGCGCATGCGGTGTCCAATGACCCTGGTCCAAATTAGCAGTTAAGATAAATGCAACATGTTCCCAACAAGGGTTTTGCGAGCAAATAGCCACATGATTTTTCTCCGCAACCATGTCCACGACGATGGTGGTCATCGATATAAAGTTGCGGAAAGCAAATACCCGGCAAAGCACCGCCACAAGCCGCGCCACATGTCATCTTCACTAAACGCGGGGCTGGATCGACTGTTTCATGTCAATAGACCTATTGGCCTTCATTCGGCGCTTATGGGTTTAACACAGAGTTGCGTTTTGTATAGGTAGATTGTTCATAATCTCATAAATCACTGCGCCGGGTCAAGACACTGGCATCAAGCAAGTCTACATTGCTTGGTCATTGCACAAAAGTAGTCCAACATAATTCATGTACATCTCTTGAGTACTATCTTGTTATTCAGGGATCTACACTCACTCCTACTCATTTCTTCAGACACTCCCCAAGTAAGGCAGTATTTCGAACATTCCTAGTCCAACGTCTTCATTCATTACCGATTATCACTTTTTCTAGTGTGAATTGAAAGCCAGCGCAGCAAACAGTAAGTGCTGAAGTTTCATTACAAAGCCAACTCACATACTTTTTACAAGCCATCAGTGTATCTTGCCTTCACCTTTCATTAGGCAGCACTTTGTCAGGTCACTTTCATTCACTTACCCCGAATCTGGTCAGTCTCACTTTCATAACAGTGACGCAAACATGGGTCATAAAACCCCTACCAAAACCCTTGTATGTTTGATGTTTTCACTACCATTCGCCCCAACACTTAAATGGTGCCGCAGTCAAGCCGGATATCCCACCTCCTCAATTCCCCGCCTCAACCACACATCAGCCTGAGTACACAACCGCACAATACCCAAGGTTTTCAACATGGCACATCCAAACCTCCGTCCGGAAACCTCTAATCGTACTTCATCACCTGTGTACATTCGAACAAACCCCTCAGACTATGCTTGCATTCACCCCGCTGCGCTGGACCTGGCATATAACGGACCCGCACGTCCTCCATCTCCCACGGTATTTACAGCACCAGCCTTGTTCATACACCCAACAACTGCTGTGGGATTTGTAGCCAATCACACTAGACCATCCACTCCACATTCCAACTCGGATGACTGCCCCATTTGCCTGGACAGCTATATCACTGAAGCCTGTCTCCAAATTATAGGAATCACAGGGTGCAACCACCGCATTGGCAGCACATGTTTGGAAAAAATGCTCGATCACCATCCCGGAGATGAGAAAAAATGCCCGTTGTGTCGCACAGTCTGGATACCTGGCTCTGCCCCCCATTTCGCTGCACAAGATCGAAGTCTTGCTAATATAAGAGCAATGACAAACCCGCTCCTAAGTATGGGCGGAGAAGTTTCTAGTTCACACAATCGGCTTCCACCCGGATACACGGCGCACCCTATGAGAAGTCACAATCGAGGTGGGCTACGAACTGATACACACTCATCGCCATTATGGCAGGACCAAGATCAATCCGTCCTTATTGACTCGTCAGAGGAATCGGAAGATGGCGACTCGGAAGAGGAAGAAGAAGCTGCTTATGCAACCCAAGTCCGGATCTACGAAGACCTAACGGCCGATATCGCTGATATACGGCGTCGAGCAGATAACCAAGGAGCGGATCGGACCAACCGAAACAGACGCCAGGATCGATTGCAACACGGTCATGAGGAGAGCCAGCTTGGTGGTGGAAGCGAGACCAACAGAGTTGAGTCTAGAAGAAGAAGGAGAGGAGCCATCTCCGCCAACACACCAGGAACGAACACGCTCAACCGCTTCATGAACGTGCGCGCATTGAACGCTTTCCGAACCGCCGTGAACGGGACTGCACCCGAAGTCGCGGTTAGGGGCGACCGCTTCACTGGCCATGTTATGCGGGGAATGGCGCGTGCACGGGACGAGCCCAGTGCTCGAGACGGGCAGCATCGCGCCACGCCTGGTGAGGACTTGATGGGTGCAGGTCAACAGCAAAATACCATTTCATCTGCCGTGACGCCTGCTTCTCCGCATGCACAGACCGGTACTCGACGTTCCGGCGCAGATTGTAGAGTGACCAGACCTCGCAGTGGTCACCCACAACCTCACACTAGAATCTCTCAGTCATTCCGTACTCCCGAGGCTCACGCTCAGTACCTAGACGAGCGACAGCGGTTTCTAGATGTCCAGTACACGAACTTGCTAAGGTGGGAGACAGCGCTTCAAGAGCGCGAGACGAGGGTAGAGAATACGCTTGCACTGATAACGAGACAAAGGGTTGAGTTGGAAGAACTGATGCGAAGGCAGCGAGAGGATTTGGATAGTAGTAGGTAGGATTTTAGAGTAAGCGCACGGCGATACGTAGTAGCCAACGAGATACGGAAAACCACCTGACCATATTCAACCCTACGATAATACCATTGAACATGGATAGCAATACCTACATACATAGCTAAAAATAAAACTTCCACCCATCCATCACACCCTCAAAGAAAAAAGAATCACACAGCCTCCTTCCCCAGCAGGCCAGTCTCCTCCACAACAAAATCCCAGGAAAATCCCCAAATGACGCAAAAATCCCCCGCTAAGATTCCCCAGCCCTGCGGCTCTCGGGATCCCCGAATATGCATGTACTACCACGACATGCACACATGGCACAATTTCTCGTCTAAAGCAAACTAGCTTCCTGCACCTCTCGCAATCCTTCCCATCTAAGCCCCACACGGGACACAGACACACCACACCACATACTTACACACACAGACGGCGCATACACGCAATACGCGATAAGATAATAATAATAATAATAATAATAATAATAACAAAAAAAGCGCCACAGAAAGGATAACGTTACACGGAAGTAGTATGTGTAGGTGCAAGGTTACACACACACACCTCGAAGCGAGGGGAGGTTGGAAAAGATGGGAAAAATCACGTGGCGAGGCGAGTGGACGGGACATGCCGTTGTTATGCCTGAGGCGAGGACGGGATCTGGGATTGTGAATTGTGCGATGGGGGCGGGCAAAGATCGAAACAAAAAAAAAGACCCCTTGTTCTAAAGTTTCTGTTGGAAGATATTCTGGGAAGATGAAAAGCAAAGTAAATGCGGAGGACGTTGTAAGAGTAGATGGTTTGGCTGTGGTTGGTTACGGCATCTTGTGTTCCACAAGAAGAAGAAAGGCGTTTTTTTTTCTTCAAGTATGCTTTCTTGTTACTTTTGCACATCACTCTTGTTTATCGTTTCCTCTTTCGTTGTGTACTATTTTGAGGGGTTCTGTTCGGTATATACGGTTTCCGCGCCCCCAATAGCTTTCCTTTTTTGCGGAGGTTAGTGGCCAGGCGGATTGTGGAAGATGTTTGGTTCTGTGGGGAGATGAGGGAGACGAACGAGACGAAGGATTGAGGAAGGATAGAGAGGGCCACATTTTGCAAAGTGTGTCTGCCTTCGATCCGCAAGGATAAAAAGTTCAGCCCTGCGATTGCAGACGATATGAGCTGAAATATCGTCATTTCGCACCATCTCGGCCAACGGCATGCGTCACGTTTGCTCTCTATTATCCAGTAGACTTATTTCGCTTTCTGTGGCTTATTATTGCATAGTTTCAAGGCAGCAGTTTCACCAGGTGTGGAGCGGTAGTGGGGGGAAAGGTGAAGAGTACACACCTAAACGATCATGACCGCTCGGTTCCACAACGGCGGTATCCGATAATGGTCCCATCATGCTCGCCCGCTGCGTGTCATGCGGCGCCTGTCGAGCTGAACCTGAATCATGTTTTACGGTGCGTAGTGCCTTGCGAAGCTCAAGACTAGTAGCCCTAGCCGCGCTAGTTAAGGCTGGAAACAAGAAAAAGTTCACGTGTAGTTCTGGCGCTGCGGCGTACCACGTAAATGTTCGGCATGTACGGCTTCTAGATGCTTTTCGGGCGCTTTTTTTTCCCTTAGGTCTTTCTTCACCACAAGCGTTCGTAACGGTGGATAAGTGAATATTTGAAATGGTAATTAACTGTTGTATATATTCAATACATGAGTATATGGACAGGAAGAGAAACGAAATATAAATTTAGACACAGAAGGAAAGAAAACAGGACAGGGGCAGGGAGGAGGAGAGAAGAGTGAAATCCAGAGTGCTGGTAATACAAGATAATCGAGCCGAGGAAATCAAGCGATGTAGAGTTCACAAACTTCACTCGTTACTCGCTCTCCAGCATATCCTCATTAGCGGATGCATACTACCGACCGCGTGCACCTTCCAGTAAGAAATGACATATCCCGAAGGATTGGACTAGCTGAACGCCAACGCCAACGCCAACGCAAGCGCTAAGACCGACCATGACCAAAAAAAAACTGACATGTATAACGTTTTGTGCTTGTAAAAGGGAGAAAAAAAATGGGGCGTGGCCAGCACTGTTGTCGAGTGAGAAAGGGTGATTGCCATCAAAAAAAAGTTGGCAGAAATCCGAAAGGAAAGGGATATCTGGAATCATGATGGGTGGAGCGAATAGGAGGAGGCGGATTCGTCCGATGCCGAGGCGACCGTTATGCAGCATGATATCGTAGCGCAGAGTCATGAATGGCGCCAGAGTAGGCGGCGTGTATCCGGGGAGTATAATGGGGGTATACAAAGTCGAGAGACATTATCGTTACGGGGCATCGCTTATTGTTGAGACAGAATGATCTGCTGAATTTGTGCAAGCGAGGGATCATCGTTGAGCCATTTTTGCTGCGCTGCATCTGCGGCACGGAGGGTATTTTCAACGTATGCGTCTGTCATGGCCATGAGTTCCTATTGCTCGCTTGTCAGCCCATGTTTCAAGTCCGGATAATGATCTTTTAGTCTTCCAAGTTTTGTGAAGCGCTTTCATCCTTCAGGGAAGGCCTCCAGCTCCCCGAGGCGGGGTGGACAGGGGAAGTATTTCACGTACATTCCTCAATGTGGCATCAGCTTGCTGCAATGCTGCCATATGACTAGCATTAGGTTTCTCGCCACGCAAGATGCTCTGACGGCTGTTCATCCAACGGAGACCAGCGTTGGCTCGAAGGTAGGCACGCTGGCATCGGAAGCGGCGTACAGCTGCATCCACGATAATACTGTGAACTCTATGTTAGCATGCTATCAGGAGGCCCCCCAAAGCAACCACTCACGCCTTCAATTGCCGCTTCTCATATTCGAGGTCACCTGTTCCCGAGGGAGTGCTGCTGGCGAATGGCGTCTGGAGGATAGCCTGAGCCTCGCTCGTACACTGTCGGAGAAGAGAGTAGCCATCTAGGTAGTACTCCTCGGCTGTCGGTGTGGCGCGTATTTGGACAAGGTAGTGTTGGAGGTTGCGGAAATCAGTCATTATCTCCGCTACACGGACGGCGCGGGCATCGTTGACTTTGAAATGTTAGCATGAAGTCGTTGATAGATTCTCCCTTGAAGATGCAGTGATGGGCTCCAAAAGAGTTGAGGGATGCCTTACGACCGTCAGACATGATGAATATTAGATTTCAAAGTAAAGGTCGGCTGGCGACGAATGTGTAGAAAGGAGTGTAGTATATCGAAGAATGAATCGAGGCTTGTTGTCTTGTACGGAAGAATGAGGCGCGGCGTAAGGAGTGTTAAATAGTCATATGTCCTCAGATGCACACTCCTGCTACGGTGAAGGTAGTAGGGCCATGGGCGAGGTTCTGATAGCTTGGGTAGAGAATAGAAGCCTCCCTGCAGGGCTACTCCCGCCGCTACATGGTGCCGAGCTCCACTTTGAGAGCGTGAGTCGCTTCCAGCTGTACTAGGTTCGTCTCCGCTCGCACCATTCAGCGGCCGGCATAGAGTATGTCGAGGCTTGGAGGAAGAGGACGAGGGCATACTAGCATCGCCATGAGTATCCATCGGTGCTACAATGGGGAAACGCAGCATGCAGGAACCGTGCGCCTGCATCATAGCGAGTTGGTTTTTTCGGTGCTCCGCTACCGCGGCATCCCAGCTGGAGTGGACAGCGTAGTGTTGACTGACTTCAGCAGCGCGAGGTGCGCCACATGGAGGATTGGGTTTAGCGGGCCAGCTCTAGGGGCCTGAATCGGGTAAGGCAGCGATGCCAGGCTGTGTATCCTAGTCTCAGCAAAGCCGGCGATTGGCTCTAGTGTGATTAGCGGTGCGTTCATCGCGTGCTGGTCCGCTGAGGGTGAACCTGAAAGGTATGTCCGGGAATGGAGCATCAGTGCGTAGGGACGCACAACGCTCGCCAAAGCCACGGCTGCAAGCCGCAAAGGCGGTGTCAGCCACGCGACGGCTGTGCTGGGCGCTCCGAATGCTGTGAGCCAGTCAGATGACGTCGAGGATGCTGCTCACGAGTTGAGGACCAGCCGTTGGCAGCTGAGAGGCTATGGGAATCTGGGGCCATGGGCGAATGGGCATACCAGTCAAGCGGCCTCATGGCTGAGCTCGCGCACTTCTTTTTTTGTTCATGCCCAGCGTTGGTGACTCGCTCACGGTTCATTTAGGCAGGAGAGTACAGTCTAACGTCTTTATTCATCGTGCTGCTCGAGCACTTCTGGCGTGTAAGAGGTCGTGTCATGCTACCTGTGAATATCGTAATGCTTTAGATTGTGCGGCCGTACCTGAGCGCCCCCCACCCTCCTTGCAGCCCCATGTTTGCTGTTTCCTAGTCCTTGTCTGCGATTGACTGAAGTCTCTCGTCGATCTCGTCCTCGGTGAGCGCCCTGAAGGCGGGATCTGTACCCTCCGCGCCATCCGCCTTGGGTCCTCCTACAATGCCAATCTCCAACTCTCCCTTTTTGAAGTCAACAGACAAGACAGTGCTCAGTGCGGTGATGGCAAGCTCGACCACTTCTTCCCAGTTGCCGTCGGCATGCTCCTTGTTCTTCAGCTTCTTCTCAAGAAAGTTTAGCGCCTCTTGTGTCTTTGGGCCCGATGCTGTTGCCTTGTAACCGACATAGTAGCCTGCAGGATCGCACTTGTAGAGTTGGGGTCCGTATTCAGAGTCGAGCGAGATGAGCGTGGTAGCCACGCCTAGTGGTCGCATGTAAGCCTGCCCCTCTGTCAGTAATCAATTGACCCATGCTTGTACGTAATCTCATGCAATACCCTTTGAGTATAGACTTGGCTGATGTTGGCTATCCTCTTTGCCAGAACATCACAGGGCATCTCGTAGCCGTACTTGTAGCGGAACTCGGCAGCCTCACCCCGCGCTCTGCTCACTGAGGCTCTCGCATCGGCAATGGATCCAGTCATGACGCAGCCAACCGAGGGCGATAGCCGGAAGATGTGCGAGACTGAGCTGGGGTCAATGAGCTTGTCCTGGAGGTATGTCAGTATACACGGTGCCGGCCCCTCCTCGCATGCGCCACACGTACAGGCACCTTCTTCTGCGAGATGACTACCGCACAGTCCTTTCCTCGCACGCCAAGCGATGTGATGTTTGCAGCGGTGATGGCCTTGAATGCATATTCTGGTGTTGCGGGGTCAGCATCTGGTTGTCAACGAGGACACAGCAGCGGGCAGCCAGCCAGTTGGCAATGGTGGCTGCCCCGGCGGTGTGTGGATAGGCAATGGATTGCATACCGACTTGGTAGAGACGGCCCTGGTCCGAGAAGATGGTAATGTGTCGGTCGTAGCCTGCGCTTCCTACATGGTGGCCACCGCTGTCAGCATCTATGTAGCTTGGTGGGCAGCTTGCTACGGACCAGACATGATGAAGGCGGTAGCGGGTAGTGGATTTGGTTGATATTTGTAGTGTTCGTCTTCAGCTTCAGCTCCCGCAGCAGGTCCCGGAAATATGCGGTGTGTTGAAAAAAGGCGCGGGTCTGGATGTAGGCCAGAGGTTACTGGTGTTGGCTACCGCTGCTTCAACTACGCGTTGCTTGTGGCCTGGAGCTTCTGGGATCGCCGTCACCTGGCCCGTGCATCCCTAGCATCAGCCCCGAAATTCTCTGCCTGCGACTTCTCATTCGACCTTTGTATACTGACGAACGCCCTATTCCAGCTGATTCGGTCATGCGCGATGCCCTTTAACTTCTGCATCTTCAGTTGCACATAGCCATATTCCTCTTTCGATCATGGCCCAAGACGCGGGCAGAATTCCCGCCTGGCGGAGACTGGGCCTCGCCCTCAAGAACCAAGAGCACGCCGGAGTCGCCGTGTCTGAAAATCAAACTCCTTCCAATGCTCCACAGCAATCTGCCTTAGGCATTGAGCTGGATGGAAGCGATCAGGCGGCCAAGCTTGGCAAGCGGAAACACCAAGATGAACCCCATCATCAAGAAACCAAAAAGAGCCGGATCGCTATTACCGACATTCAAATCAACCAAAATACGTCAATTGAGGCTCCTGAGACTGTCCCAGAGAAGGCCCCAGAGACAGCAAAGCCTACCAAGGGAGACTCCAATTATCGGAAGAAGAAGGAAAAACCAGCCAAACGCCCAAAAGCAACTAAAGACGCTCAGCATGCTGGCTTCCAGCCGCACTCCCAGCCCAGCCGTGCATCACCTGCGACTGCAACAGAGCGCCCAACTTTACTTGCATCCACTGAGACAAATAGTGCAGACCCAATTGCGACTCCACAAAAGCCACTGACAAAGCAAAGCCGCAAAGACCCCTCAGCTTCACCGCGGAAATCTGTCGCATTTACCCCAGACACTAAAAAGTCCGACGGCAATACCGGACAGGATTACTTCAAAGCCTGGGTTGCGTCACAGAAAGGCACTGGAGAAGTATCTCAGCCACCAGAGGTCTCGAATTTTGTCCTGCATGCATTGATTGCCGACGAAGAGAAGACGGCAAGGAAGAACGGACAGCTCGAGAAGAAGCAGGAAAGCGAGCAGACTAGACTAGCAGAAAAGCCATCGCCTCAGCCCGCAAAGGCCGAGAAACCCACTCCCAAGCAGGACGAGTCAAAGCTGGAAAAGTCAAAGCCCAACGCCGAGCAAGCCACCTCACAAATTGCGCCCACACCAAAGGGTAAGAAAAAGGATCCATCCATCTACATCGCTTACCTCACCCAATACTACAACGACCGAAGCAACTGGAAGTTCAATAAGGCCAAGCAGAATGATGTCGTCGACAATGCTTTGAACATTTTCCGGATTCCAGTGGAGCATTCTGAGGCACTGGCAGCATACATTGCTGGACTTCAAGGAGCAGGTGTTATTGACCGCTTGCGTCAGCGCTGCCACGCGACACTGGACGACCTTGACAAGCAAGACGCAAAAATGGACGATGAAGAAGCCCGCAAAGTAGCTCAGGAGGAGGCCGAGCAGGAACGCATCGCCAAGGAAAGAAAGAGAAGGAAGACTGACGGTGATATGGCCGCCTTTGCAGAACATCCGTATAGCCCTGGTTTTATTAGAAGACTCCAGCGACGCCGAGCCGAGGCGCTTCTCAACGCTTTAGGGCACACTGCACCAGTCGTAGCACCACCAAAGCCCGTTATAAATCCGCTGATGCACCATGTCAAGCCCGAGCCACCAAAATCAAACGCGCGAAAACGCAAGCGGAGATCCGAAATCTCAAGTGACGAGAGCAGTTCGGACAGTAGCGATGACAGTTCGAGTTCAGATTCAGATTCAGATTCAGATTCAGACTCAGACTCGGACTCAGGCTCGGACTCCGGTTCTGCAAAGGATGCCACTAGCTCCAGCGACGACAGTGATAGTGGGAGCGATAGCAGCAGCAGTGACTCATCCAGCGATAGTGATAGCGACTAGATGGCGGAGTGATTTTTTCCAAGATATTTGCATTCGATCAAGGATCTCGGCGTTATCTGTCTTGTAGATACCATTGTCCTCTAAAAAACCCCGCCTGGAATCTTCACCAGTAAGCCGGAGCATCATCTTTACATAACTACCACAAAACAGAATGCATGGATTTTAATGCCCCCCCCACCACCATCATGGAACCAAAACAATATTCCTGGTTAGGAAATATGCAAGTACGCTACCTGAACCAGCTAGCTCCATCGTGTCCCACGAGTTCCCCGCTCTTGTTACCTAAGTCGGACTATCATCAATTCATTGACGTTTACTATTTATTTGGTCCATCTTTCTGTTAAAGGGCCCCCCTTCGATATCCTTGAATCTTTCTTCTTGATACAAACAGAATGACATTGACATCTCTCCCCAACGAACTCATCGAACACATTGCTTCGTATCTGGACCTCTCCAGCACCCGTTCATTCCGCCTTACCACATCCTCCCTAACAAAAGCATCATCGCACCTCTTCAAAGACCGCTTCTTCCAGCAACGCACTCTAACCTGGACGAAACAAAGTCTGGACACCTTTGTACAAATATCGCTACACGCACAATATGGCAATGCCCTCCGCCACCTCATCATCGACGCAACCCCCCGACACTCGATGCTCCTCTGGTCCCTCTCCAAACAAATAACCGACATAACCACCTTCCCCAGCTCCTCCTCTTCTTCCTCTAAAACCGCCGCATCCCCCGAACAATGCAGACTCCAAGACGCGTGGGCGCAAGCCGCAGAAAAAGCCGCGCAAAACACTTCCTTCTTCAACGAAACGCGGTACGACCAAAAGACGCTCAAACAAGCCTTCGCAAACATGTCCCAGGGAAACTTGACTACTATTACTTTTCTCTACACAGGTCTCCCAGCCTCGCTCGTAAAAGGCGGAAGAACATACTGCGCACTAAGCCAATGCGAGACCTCGCGCCCTTTCGTCTCCACCCTCGCCGCCCTCGCCGCATCCCCTCACATCCAACTCTCCACCATCGCACTACACAAGCCATTCCACCACGGCGCCGTAAGCATCGGGCGCCTGGAAAGTCTCGCTCCACTGCTCTCCTGCTTCGACAAGACATTCACCTCGCTAACCCATCTCGCGCTCAACCTGCGCGACTGGCGCGAACAAGAATCTGGCTTTCAACTCGCACCACCACCACCGCCCTCCCCATCTTCTTCTTCTTCTTCTTCTTCTTCTGCTACGACTCCCCGTGCACCTTTCATCGTCCGCTTCCTTTCTAAAATGCACAACCTAACGTCCCTGGAACTAAGCTGCTACAGTAACTTTGAGCAGAATCTCTTTGAAGAAATAGCGAAACACTGTTGCTTGGACAAGTTGGTCGTATGTAAGCTCTCTGTTATAAAAATCGAGCGGGTAGAGTGGCTCGATATGTTTCTGAGAGAGAGTCTGGAGAGAGGTACGCTAAGGGAGCTTTGTCTAAGGCAGGTTATGCTGGCGAGGCGCGAGGGGAGTGGATGGGGAGAGTGGATGAGGCGGGTTGCGGGTGAGCAGCAGGGTTTGAGCCGAGAGCGTGTGCGGGATGGGCAAGCGGCGACGACGACGACGACGACGGGGATTATGCATTTTTGCTTTGCTGATTTGTTTACTGGACAGGGTGAGGTGCTGTTTGTACGGGGGTGCCGGAGTCTTTGTTTGGGAGAGGATTGGACATGTCGGCTTTTGAGTGCGTTGGAAGGGGGAGTCCAAGGGAAGGAATGGAGGCCACAGTGGGATATGGGTGCCTCTGCGTATCCGTTTGTAGGGCTGAGCATGTGAGTTATGAAATGGTTCCCACAGGTATTTCGGCGGACGAAAAAGTACGACCCTGGACGCGTCTGTGAAGACTGTCTAGTGATTCAGTTTCTGGATAGAACACAGTATTTCAAGGTAATGGGCCATGAAAAGCCTAGAGTACGGGGGGACTTGTTTATTTTGTTATTCAAAAAGCTCTATCATGATTCCGCATTCCCCCGCTTGCTGCCCACTGCCCAATCGTTCTCAAAGGAATGCAACTCCATTCAATATGAAGGCCTCGTCTGTCGAGTGAGATTACCCATGATTGCGGGAACAGTCCAAGTGTATTGCGGCTATATATCTCTTACTCGAGGTTGGCCTTGATGGCGGCCTCGAGAGCCTTGGGGTTGGCACCAACAACCTCGGCGACCTTGTCACCGCCCTTGAAAAGAAGGAAGGTGGGCATAGCGCGGATACCGAGTTCCTGGGCGACGTCGGGGACCTCGTCAACGTCGAGCTTGTAGAAGCGCGCGGTGGGGTATTCGTTGGAAAACCTAGCGCAGTGTGAGATGCGCAATCTGCGTAAATCGACTAGAGTGGAAGCTTACTTGACAACCTGGGGAGCAATCACTTTACAAGGGCCGCACCATGTTGCGAAGCAGTCAAGGACCATGAGGGTATCCTTGTCGTTCATGGCGGCATCAAAGTCGGCCTTGCTACAGTTCGCATCGCGTCAGCTGCGGCTACCAAGTATGACGTTGCGTACGTCGCGCGAAAGGCGACGGGCAGAAACTTACGTGGTAAGGTTGTGGACGCCCTCCTTTTTGTCGCTCATTTTTGCGGTGTTTGAGAAGAAACGCGGGGTGAAGAGTGGTCGGTAGAGGTTTGTGGTTGAGGTGGGGTTGATGGAAGCTGTTTGCAGACGCACAGATGTGAGCAGTGTTCTGGTAACTCTGAATGATGACGGCGCGAACATAATATATGCTAGACGAGAAGAGAGACGGCAAGAAAAAGGTGATTTCAAATGCTCGGGATAATGGAATGAACTGGCCGCCGCCGTTGCCGATTACAATGCTGAGGCGCGCCTATTTTTCGGCAAGCCCTGGGAGTCCCTGCGCAGATGCAAGAATCGCAGTAGTGCACTGGAGCGGGACGACGGGGAGGCAAACAGGAACGCAAAGGGGCTGCTTACAATGTCAGAGGTTGAGTGGATTTGTGATGGTAGGTGAAGGTGGATTTCTCCGAGTTCCCTAGGTATGTATAGCGTCAGGCGCGCTGATAAAGGCGGATTACTGTACACAGGTGGCTGGAGGGACTGTAGTGATGAATGACGTGCTTGGCCGACCGACGACCCGAGTTGCCCCGCCAGGGTCCTGCCTCGTGCGGCGGGCCATCCAACAACCACGACGACAACATCGACTGACAGCAACTCGACCATTCGGAAGCGCCATATAACAAGTCATGGATGGGAACTGGAAATCTGACATACCTCGACACATCTCTATATTGAAATTAATAAAAAGAAAAGAAACAGTTACACAAGCAGGTGGGCTCAATGACTGATGTACAAAAGCCACTGGTGCGGCTCAACTTAAAATTACAGTCTTTCCTGAAAGAAAAGATTCATGGAGATAGTGACTTAACAACGCCAGGTCTACACGCCGAAAATACAATGAGGCGGCGACCCTAAAAGACTAGGCCTAACTGCCCACGTCCAAATGCTGCCCGTGTTCCAAAAAAAAGTATTAATTGCAAAACCAACATCGCAATCCATAAGGAGGGTATCACAGAAGCCGACCGCAGCTGCTTGTGCTATCACAGACCACAATAAAACAAAACCAAACCCTGAAAATAAAATACAAACGCCGCGCTATGCAAGGCGCAAAGGACAACCCATGTCCACAAAAGGGTCCGAGACGGAGCTTGCATCCATTTTGAGAGCTTTCCTGATCAATGAATCGCATGCTGCCAAGCCAAAAAGGAACAAGAGACGAGAGACAATCAAGGAAATCGTAAACGAGTGACTGAGTGAGTAGATCAAGGTACAAAGGAAAAATGCAAAATGAATGGCGTGGCAAGGCAGGCATGCAAAGTCATGAAATCAGAAAAGCTCTTACAAAACGGTTGTCTTACTCCTGCTCAGGCCTTCTTGCGGGTGAGATGTCGTCCAACGGTATGCTTGACCGTTTTTGGATGTCCAGAAGCCTCGCCGAACCAGCGCTGAGGTGCCTGACATGGTGCTTGCCGAGATCAACGCTTTTGGCACGTTGCAACACCATTGGCTCCGAATCTGATGTCGGTGATGTTGGCGACTCTTGGGTGGGCGATCCCGTCACTACTTCGGCCGCCTTGGAGGATCTATCCCCCGTATCTTCAGTGAAGACGCTTAGAAGACCTTCGGTGGACTGAATGCGAGGCCGACGGTAGACTATAGTAGGCTGTCTGGCGACGCCGCTCTGGACACGCTGGTCTCCGTCTTCGGTTGTCGGGGCTACAACAGTGGACTCGACCTCCTCGTCGGATTCGACTGCAGTGTCAAGCGCCATCAAAGTGCTACTGGCTCTTCGGCCCCGGTCATCGCTTCCGTAAGGAGAAGAGCCTCTTTGGTTTGGCATACCCGTAAGTCTCTTAAAGTACTCGTCATCGGCCATTCCCAATTCCTCGTAGGAAGGATTGAATTCTTCGTGACGCATCACAGCCGAAGACTTGAGGCTAGAGCGCATTTGGGACCGATTGGATGGCCGTTTAAGCGGCCTTCCTGAAAGCCATGATGCTTCAGAGTCGACTGATGCAAGAGACTGCGACATGTTGTTGGTGGGCACACTGGGACTCACGGGCGAATCAGATCGGTCATCGGATGGCGGTCCCACACGAATATCCGACGGATGCTGGTTTCTTCTGCGAGCAGCAAGGCCAGTGCTGGCCGGTGCTTCGGGTGATTGCACGCGGGAATCGGGAGGTGAGATGGGGAACTCGGGGAGATCTTCTCTAAACTTTGATCGGGTTCGTCGAGGTACACTGGAGGGTCTCTTGATCTGCATTGGCTGTGACTCAACAGGTGCAGTGCCGACAAGGTGAATGGGAATGTGCTGGCGAGACATGGATTCCCGCGATGTGTTGGAGAAGGAAGCTTCGGAAGGCGGAGGACGTGCTTGGTCTTGCGAGTTGCGCTTTCCTCTTCGGAAGAGTGAAGCAAACACACCCAAGCGCTTGCCCTCAGTACTGAGCCTACGCATAGAAGATCCTTTCTTCGAGGTCGCCGTAGTGTCAATGGTATCAACCGGATGCAACGATCCGCTCCTCGCGGGCTCTTGGAAGTGCACAAACTCGATAGGAGTGTCGTGGCCAAGTTTTTCGGTTAGGAGTTCTGGGAGTATGGAAGCATTGGACACGACACGGGTATGTAGTTGTGTGGAGGCGCTGCCTCGAGAGAAGCGGATAGCTTGGGCATCGGATACAACGGGTTCTTCAACAGGGCTTTCGAATGGGGTGGGCAACTGGTTATTGACTTGTGTCGGAGGGGTGATGGGCATCTCGACTGGCTGAGGTCGGACTGGTGTCGATGGACGAACGTCCTCCATAGGCACAGGGGCCTCTCGCTCAATGCCCAGGCCAACTTTACTACTGATCTTATCCTTGGGGGGAGTTGCAGGCGTGACTTGGGCTTCAGCAGCATTCTGCTTCTCGGCACGTCGTTCTAGCCTTCGGCGGAGACGTTCCTGATCAGCCTTGGCCTTCTTTTCTCTCCGCCTCTTGTCTCGCTCGAGGATATCGCGGAGTGCTCCGGTGTCGAGGTCGTCGGCCAAGTCGTCAATTCTACTTGTTCTCCGGTTTGCCTTTTCCTCATTGCTGGTAATTGGTCGTCGGTCGCGGCGTGGGGATTTTTCGCTTCGTGCATTGGGCGACGTGCGGTCGCCTGCATGATAGTTTGAGCCGTAGGAGACGCGAATGGTGGGTCGAGGTGAGAACATGTCGAGTGCACTCACGCGAAAGGCGCGGCCGTCTGAGCCACCAGACATGGACGAGTGGATCGAGTCGGCGAGGGGTAGGGAAACATTCGAGGTTGGGCGCTCGAGGCGGTAGTTGATGGCGGCCTTGACCTTCTTGCTGTCTCTGCGCAGCATACTCGCAGAGTTGCCAGCGGGTCGTTTCTGAGGCATGGCAAGAGACATGGCGCGGATCTCCTCTTCGCGGACGTGATCATGTTCTCTGCGCCGTTTACTCGACTTGCGACGGACAAGGGAGTCTACAATATGCGGATCCCTGCGCATTGACTGGGATCGCTGGAGTTTGGCGCGATCCTTTGCTGAGGACAGGAGTTCTGGATGGACGCGAGACTGGAAGTTGTAGAGGATGCCGCCGTGTTCCTGGGTAATGGGACGCAGGTGCGGACTGTGTTGGAGGCGGCGCTGGGCAGGCAAAGCGGTGATATCTTCAGTGCTCGACTGGGGCCAAGCGTCTTTGGCAAAAGAGAGTTCGGGCAGGGTCTTGTCAACGTCGCGGATTGAAGCGGGCGTGGACCGCGAACTGCCCCGTCGGCGGCGTAAGCGTTGACTAGGGCCTCGCCGCGGGCCATTGTTGGTCTGATTCGTGTTGGGTTGCTGGCCGGCGGCGGATGCGACAGGCAAATTCCCTTGTGTAGCGGCAGCAGATCCACCAGCGTCTCTTAATTTAGCGGCCTTCCTCCGTCTCCGCCCAAACAGCCACATGGGGCTTCGCGAGCGCCAGCGCGGCGGCGACAGCGAGGAGCTTTATGAAGCGGGTGTGTATGTTTTTTTTTGGAGAGGGGCGTCGTCGCGGCAGTGGAGGCGACGAGGTGGTTCGGGGGATAGCGAAAGAGGCGGGTGCTATGTGGAATGGGAGTCGCTGCACGGCCGGTCGGGCTGCATGTTGCGCGGGCTGCGGTGGGCGGGTGGCACTCGGGCTGGGGCCGCCAACGGGCGAGCGAGCGAGCGAACGAGCGGGTAGGTAAGTGACGAGGGCGAGGGGAGAAGGGAGACAGGGAAGAGGAGGAGGAGCAGTGTATGTGTATGAGATGGTAGTGGTAGTGTGTATGGTGTGCGTGGGTGTGCGTGGGTGTCTGTGTGTGGATGCGAGAGTCTGTGTGCGTGGGTGCGGTGCGGTGGTGCTGCAATGTGATGTAAGGGAGGATCCGCCAGCTCGTATCTACCATACGCTCCTAGACAGGGCTCGAATCTTGCTTCACAGGGCTCGACCCTTTGCTGATGATGATGCCCACCAGGCGGACAGGGCCAAAAATATACTACTATGCTACCCGTCTTGCTTGTTCTTTTCGGGCATTTCTCTGCTGGGGCCCTGGTCGGTCCTTGTCGGTGCGCAGAGGGCGGCGACACGAGCGAGGGAGTGCAGCAGCTTTTAATCTTGCCTCGACGGCAGCACCGCGCCCACGACCACGACAGCGGAGGCAGACAGAGGCAAGGCATTGGAACGCCAGAAGCATCGTCCCAGATTGCCTCGTCGATCTCGCCCTGGCCGTGGCCAACCAACGGTGGCAAGGGGCTTGCGCTACCCATGCCAGCTTCCAGCCGGTGCCCCGTCCTTGTACCGGGCGTGCTTTGGCAGGCCAGGGCAGCCTCTCGCCCTCTGCTCACCTCAGCTTATCGCTCGCCTGCCACTGGTCTGCCATGCCCCCGTCGAACAAAAAAGAAACACGCGCTGCCCCCACTGTCTGCCAAAACAAACACTCATTCAAGCCGCTGTCATTTCCACGCTTTTTCTTGCATCTCGCTCTCGCACTTGCACTTGCAATGCACTGCACTGCACTGCACTGCACTCCACTCCACCGCACTGTACCGCACCGGAGCCAGAGCGCGATACGCTGCACGCCTGCGACCCAAACCATGTCTGTGTTGAATTTCAGTGGGACACGTCGCTCCTGCTCCTGCTCCTGCTCCTGCACGCCAACGGTGCCCGTGGCTTGCTGGGGGGAGACTACCGTCACGATCTCCATCTCCCTGCAGCCCGCCCACCTGCAAGTCCATCGACAGCGACGTTGTGTGCCTCGTTGCAACTCAGGTACCCGTCTCTCAACCATGCGCATGCCTTCACACCCGCTGTAAGGGCCTTCCCTGCTCCGGCCAGCGGGCCCCCCTCCCCCAAGACCACAACCGTCGCCCGCCGGCCCAAACGGCTGCGCATCGCTGGCGCCTGCTTTTTCGTCTGGTGCGTGTGCATGTGCCCATACTACTCTACCTACCTACCTACCTACTGCAAAGATCTAGCAGCGCCCACCAAGCCTCCCTCGCCTCTGCCCCGAGGTCGCGTGAAACGTTCAAGGCGTGGCAGGCTGACGTTTCAAATGCACAATGTGGTATTACTACCTGACTTGTGCAGTCCCGGCTTCCGCTTTTTCGGCGGCCCGCAGTTGACTCATTGCCAACGCCAATACGAAGCATGCAACTACGGGCGACATAGCTACTTACAGGGAACGCCAACTGTCACACCTACGTCAATTTTTGCCTCGCTTGCTGCTTTCCGCCACGCCTACGAGGCGCATGATCCAATACCACTGTGCATCCATCCACCAAAACATTGCTCCAGAGTTTGGCCCCTAGCCACAAGTCTGAACTTACTTTCCCTTCTGCCTATTACACCTACAACTAAGCCGAACCGCTGGGGGAGGGGGCAATGCATGACGACAAGCCATTCCTCGCCCTCGACCGACCATTTCCAGCCCTCCCCTCGTCTCCACCAGGGTTGGCACTATCTCGGGCATACTACCACCCCAGTGAACGCATAGACGCAGCAACGCATCACCAAAAAAAACTATAGCATTTTTTTTGTCTTGCCCTGTTGCTTGCTATTATTACCAACCCTTGGTCGGATTTATGATCCAATGCTCCATAGTCCTGCAAGCATACTTACTCTTTTTGCTCAAGCCTGACGTATAGCAGGTGCCACAACAGCAGGCCAATATTGGCCTGCGTCGGAGAAGCATAACCCCTATAACCCCCCTCGTCTCGCGCAAAATTACAACACTGCATCTCGGGCATTTGCTCCTAGTGACTTGGATACATTGGTTGTCCTGAGTGTCATTCAACTCATGCACAGCCATGCACGCAATAAACACTGTGCTCACTAACCCCAAGCTGATGCATATCCGGTCGGAATCCTCCACACAGCCAGCGCACCACTGCGAGTCCAAGTGCAGTATACCTAGGCAACAGAATTGATTTGTTTTGATCTTGTTTCTTTTTCTCGCACTTTGGTTGCGCGTCACGTGGCTGGCATTGGCTGCGTCGGAAGGAGCATTCCGTCCACGGTACCTTATACCCGCCCGAGTACGCCTACCAACTAGGGATTGGTTGCCAAATACATACCATATTCGAGGCCCGCCAAAGGCCACCAGTCTATGGATGTACGACGACATGATTTAATCGACCTATGCGTGTCGCCCATGTGACCTTGAAAACTCAAAGCATCTTTCTCTTTCTCCTTCAACTCCTCGCCCACAATACATTGGTGTTTGAACAGCCTGTACTCAATTGGAGCAGACTACAGAAAGTTGTCTCATCTCTTCTCGTACAAACAGAAAGTAGCGATATGTAAACATATGTACAACATGTCTAGGCATATACAAAACAAAAGGTACAGTAGCGTTGTTCGATATTGTCTGTCAGCAAAGGAGAGACGAGAGAGCTTGCGACGATTGCCCAAACAGGAGTCACAGCCCATAACGAACGTTGCTTGATATGATCACAGAGAAACGGTTACCAGTATGACAGTTGTTCACTCACCATCCGAACGCTAGAGTCAGCATGCAGTATAAAAACCGCCCATATTGGTGAGATCGCTTAGAGTATCAGTGCTTAGAAAGAGAGTGCACGTGATATCGTTGGGAGATCATATGAGCACAGATAACATGGCTGCATAAGTACATACCAATAGCTCACGAGCATGTGAAAACAGCGTAAGCAGCGGAACAGTCTGCCCTGTGTGGTCCATGTCTGGTTGCGGATGAGCTGGAGTGGATCCGTGTGCTGTTCTGCTTGTCCCGATTCGGAAAAGACAGGGTCTCCCGTGCCTTGCCAACAAAGCGCTCCACTGCGTAAACAAACACCGCCCACCCACCTTACACCACCATCACCCCGCAGTCCTGATAACCAAATCCAGCAATATTCAACCAATACATCAATACCTGCCTGCAGTCGCCTAGAACACCACCATGTCTTACAACGGGCGCATGAGCATGGCGCGCACCACTCAACACAATCAGCGCGCACCCCCAGTCAACGAACATGACGCTTTCATGACCTTGGTATGTCGACAAACGCCCTTCAAGTCGAAAAGATGCTGACCCGTCTAGCCGGACAACGAGATTGCGGGTTGTATCTCAGACATCGGCATCCAGTTCACCGTATCGGACCTACAGAAGCCCAACCCCCAGATCATCCAAAAAGTTTTCGAATGGCTGGCCGAACTGCTGATGAATACGACTCGCGAAGTCGTTGCGCCAGCGATGCGGGCCGCTGCCGAAGATATGTGCGGAGGAGACGCAGAGCGACTCTACACCAGCGACACCAGAGATTTGATGGGCTTCTTTGTCATTCTACGAAAACTATTGCGCGAGGTGGGTGCCATTCGGAAGTGTTCGGATGGGTCTTTGCTAACAAATCCAGTGTGGAATTCATGACTTTACTTTCAACGATCTATACAAGCCCACTCATGGCCGCCTTGTTAAGATATTTTCGTACATGATCAACTTTATCCGCTTCCGCGAATCTCAAACTGAGATCATCGACGAACATTTCAACAAGGCCGAACGCACTAAATTACGAATCGAGCAGCTGTATAATGACAAGCAAACCAAGGAAATGCAACTGGCCGATCTCGAGCGGAACCGTGCCGCTACCCAAAGGCTGATGCAGGAGAAGGAGAAGCGCAATAACGAGCTGAAGACGCGACTGCTAGAATTGAAGAGGGGGCAAGAGGCAGTAGCGGAGAAGCTGGAGCGTGCTAAGATGGAGCAGGACAGGCTAAAGAAGCTGCTTCAGCAAAAGGTCGAAAACAAGGAGAATGTCCAGCGCGAGGTGCTGAAACTGAAGCCGTACACCCAGCAGAGTCCAACAGCTCTTGAAGACTCATTGCGCGACTTGAGCGATCGACTCACTGGTGACAAGACACAGATTGACATGTTAGACCGCCGTGCTCGTGCCCTTCAGACCTCGACCGATTCGTTCGCTGTTGTCGCTACCGATGTTACTTCATGCACACGATTGCTTACCGATGTACAAGCCGATCTGGCGCGAGAGGAGGAGGAGCTGGCAAAGGCATCAAGACACCGAGATGCGCTGGCCGACCGGAGCAACAATGTGCGCGACGTCGAGCGACAAGAACGCCTCTTGCAAAAGCAATTGGGTAACATCAATGCCCGCACAGACAAGCTCAAGGCCAAAGGCGATGAAGAGGCAGAGCGTGCGCGCAGACGTATGGAGGAGCTTCGAGATACTCACGCTAAGCTTACGGAAGAGCGCGGCGAGAAAGGGCGGGAGATGGAGCGACGGAGAGTCCGCATTGAGCAGACGGAGAAGAAGATGGCCGAGCTCAAAGACAACATTGAGAACGAGGTTCACTCTGCTCACGACGAGTATCTCAAGATGGAGAGTCACATCAAGCTCTACATTACAGAGATGGAGCAGAGTATCTAAATGTTGCCTTTGGGGGATAGATGATGCTTTTTTTTTGGACAGGCGGGGCGTTTGGGGGAAGGTACTGTGCTTCCATTCAGATACCATGAGGCAATCTAGGGCACTAGGATGTGATACCACATAGTTTTGTTTTAATCACAATTGTTAGACTTTGACATACTTGTCATGAGCTACTGTCCCTCACCGCCCAGTGCCATGGATAGCAGAGAGGATAAATAGACAACGCATCCCTGAGTCTAGTTCTGCAGGCGGGGTGGCGACAGGCTATGAAGACATCAGTCAAGACTTGGTGCCACCTTGCAAGCAGCGGTCTGTATCCCCACAAGCTTGCGTGTTGAGCCACCGGCTACCCAGAAGGTACAAGTGTCTTTAGGGTCTGCCCAAAAAAAATATAGCGGGTAAGGGATCATGTGTATTGTGCTACATCGATATTAAATTCCTTGTCGCACCCAGAACATCAAGTTGCACTCTGAGTCATTTGAATAGTAAGATAATATACAAAATTTCACATAATTGATTAAAGCACAAATTCTAATACATGAACCATGCAAAGCTTGCATGGCTTGTAGCATGCGAATAGAGTCGTCGCTGGAACGGGCAACCCTTGATGTCACATGTGCTCCTTTGTTCAACATGGATCCAAGTAGGGTAGTGGAATTGGGACTGTGGTAGTTGATGGTGTGGCGGTGTAATTCGGTGTTTAGACGAGCCTTTATGCATGGTAATCTTCAGGAAGCGACGTGTGATTTGTTGCTTCGCATCGAGTTGCACATGCCTGGTATAGCGTATACACTCGCAAAGACTAGGACAGCCGAGAACATAGATAATTATTGCGTCTTGCTTGGTATACCGCGTGGGCGAGGGGCCAGCGAGCAGACCAGTGCCCAAACCTGGGAGAGAGCGTTGAGTCAGGGTGGATTGCAAATTGCCAGAGTCCCATTGCTTGACTCACCTGCGGAAACCACGTTTGGAGTCTTGGTCCAATTTCTCCAGGTTTGTGGAGCATGGGATAGACTGGGAGCGGGAAAAAAATGGCTGTACTCCGCTTCCCGTGCATCAAAGGGGACTGCTCCCGTTGGTCGCTCAACCCCACATCATCAGCGAAGCCGGCCTAGCACAGCTACAGGCCCGATCCCGGCTCTGACGCTTTTCATCATCGCTCAACGCAGCAGATTTTTGTCATTGACTCACCTTGGAAGCAGCTGCCCGGCCTTCAAATACTGCTCTTTGCCCACCACTCCTCCAACACTCTACAATACACTTCAATTTTCCAAAATGTGCCCCCCCACAGAAGAAACCACCAACGGCCAAGCCAACGGCACCAACGGTGCACCTCGCAGCAAGGAAGGCTTCACCGGTGTCCAGACCAAGCAGAACCCTCACCCATCACACAGGAGTCCTTACCAACCTGTTGGCGACTTCCTGTCAAATGTTGGGCGATTCAAGATTATCGGTGCGTTCAGAATGCCAACCTTCACCGCCACCCGATGCGCACGCGTCGATATTCGAAGTTTTGCAATTGAGCACTATACCAGAGCACAACTGACTTTATTCGCATAGAGAGCACACTGAGAGAAGGAGAGCAGTTTGCCAATGCCTACTTCGATCTTGAGGCCAAGATCAAGATTGCCAAAGCCCTCGACAACTTTGGTGTTGACTGTAAGAAATTACTCCGCGGCACTTGGCCTGCAAATTTCCCAGGCTAATCAAATTCCAGACATCGAAGTTACCAGTCCCGCTGCTTCCGAGCAGTCAAGAAGGGACTGCGAGGCTCTGTGCAAGCTCGGAGTACGTTTTACAAATATTCTGGTAGCGAGGTCGCACGCTGATAATTTTGCAGTTGAAAGCCAAGATCCTCACCCACGTAAGATGCCACATGGACGATGCCAGAATCGCTGTTGAGACGGGTGTCGACGGTCTCGATGTCGTCATTGGAACCTCAGCATACCTCCGCGAGCACAGCCACGGCAAGGACATGACATATATCAAGAACACGGCACTTGAGGTTATTGAGTTTGTCAAGAGCAAGGGCAAGGAGATCCGCTTTAGTTCCGAGGACTCGTTCCGATCAGACCTTGTGGATCTTCTCTCCATCTACAGTGCCGTCGACAAGGTTGGCGTCGACCGTGTTGGTATTGCCGACACCGTTGGCTGCGCATCTCCCCGTCAAGTGTACGACTTGGTCCGCACTCTGCGTGGCGTCGTTTCCTGCGACATTGAGACGCATTTCCATAATGACTCTGGCTGTGCTATTGCCAACGCATTCTGCGCGCTGGAGGCAGGAGCTACGCACATTGACACCTCTGTACTTGGCATTGGCGAGCGCAACGGTATTACTCCCCTCGGAGGTCTGATGGCTCGCATGATTGTGGCCGACCGCGAATACGTCACCAGCAAGTACAACATCAAGGCGCTCAAGGAGGTTGAGGACCTGGTTGCCGATCTCGTTGAAGTCAACATTCCTTTCAACGTAAGTGCCATCTCCGAAGTAGAAGCAATTTGGACACGCCACTGACTCATATCTCAGAACTACATTACTGGGTTCTGCGCCTTCACCCACAAGGCTGGTATTCACGCCAAAGCCATCCTGAACAACCCCTCGACGTACGAAATTATCAACCCTCAGGATTTCGGCATGTCCCGCTACGTGCACTTTGCCAGCAGGCTTACTGGATGGAACGCGATCAAGAGCCGTGCCGAGCAGCTTGGTCTGCAGATGACTGAGGCACAATACAAGGAGTGCACTGCTAAGATCAAGGCAATTGCCGATATCCGCAAGATTGCGCTAGACGACACTGACTCCATCATCCGTACGTACCATAACAACCTTCATGCTACCGAGGAAGTGCCACTTCTGCCCGGTATGACGGAGGAGGAGAAGGCCAAATTCGCCCAAGTCGAGGCCGAGCTGAACAGTGTCAACGAGAAGAGGGAGCTCGAGGCGACTGCAGATGCGCAGGCCGAGGTACCTGCCGCTAAGAAGAACAAGACCGTGACCGTATCATAAGTACGGGTCGTTTGTATATATGGGATATCCGGAGTTAGTCGTTTCTGGTAGTCTTCTTTCTGGAGTGGTTTTACATTTGTTCCGGCCACGGAAAAGTTACAGAGTTTTTTAGTTTTTTGATACCTGCAGATAGGCCTATGGGCAGCTGGCAGGATACATAGAAATGATGAGCAATGAGCAATGTTAAGACCAGACCGCATTTGTAGTATCTGCTCATCCCAAGTTGTGCGTTGACCGACTGACCGAATCGAGCAAAATACCGACTGACCAACGAACCAACCACAAGTCACTGCCGCGGCGAAGATGGGCACGTGAGCTTGGACCCTGAGGCGCGCGCTTTCTCAGGTGGGCCTAAGTATACCGCCCCTCTCTCGACTTTCGGGGATCAATCGCCACGTCTCAATCCTCGTTGTTTTTTTACTCCCTCCAGATCGCAATCATGAGCACTGTCGAGACGGTCACTCAGCACCCCGTGATTACTGCAGAAAATGTCCTGCGCCTATTTCCCGAAGTAAACACTTCCCTCATCGGAGGATCGCACAACTCTGCCACAAATGACAATGCGCTGCAAGGCTACGATGAGGAGCAGATACGGCTGATGGACGAGGTGTGCATTGTCTTGGACAATGACGACTTGCCCATTGGTAGCGCGACCAAGAAACTGTGTAAGTGTTTGCGCACAGCATAGCCCAAGGGGCAAGGCGACTGAGAACGACCAATTGTGTAATTCTGGGCATTGCTGATATAGACAGGCCATCTCATGGAGAACATCGACAAAGGCCTCCTCCATCGTGCATTCTCCGTCTTCCTCTTCGATTCCAAAAACCGTCTACTTCTCCAGCAACGTGCGACCGAGAAAATCACGTTCCCAGACATGTGGACAAACACATGCTGCTCACACCCGCTAGGCATACCTGGAGAGACGGGTGTCGGACTTGAAGAGTCGGTTCAGGGTGTGCGTCGCGCAGCAGTACGCAAGCTCCACCATGAGCTTGGTATCAAGTCCGAGCAGGTGCCTATTGACGACTTCAAGTTTCTTACGCGGATACACTACAAGTCGCCCAGTGATGGCGTTTGGGGCGAGCATGAGAGTAAGTTTTTCTAATGTCAAGGGGCACCAACGGCGTCGCGGACGAGTACTCACAACCGTTTTAGTTGACTACATCTTGTTCATGAAGGCCGATGTCGACCTTGACATCAACCCCAATGAAGTCCGGGATTCAAAATGGGTATCCCAAGAGGATCTAAAGGCCATGTTCCAGGACAAGTCGCTCAAGTTCACACCATGGTTCAAGCTCATCTGTGAGAGTATGCTGTTCGAGTGGTGGAACCACCTCGACTCCGGACTGGAGAAGTATATGGGAGAGACGGAGATTCGGCGTATGTAAAAGGCAGTGGTGGACTGCGCTCTGTGAAGTGGGCAGTATTGCAAGTGAGCACAGTCGCAAATTCCGAGACCAATCGTCCGTGTCGAATCTAAGGTTCCGCGTTAGACCACACCGGGCTCCGAAGTGAGGCGACGCATGCATGCAGGCTCGGCGCCCATAGATATCAAGTTTCCGATAATATCCCCGTCATCAATGGTTTGCATTTTCATAGACCCCACGCCAATTACTCATCTGGCTTTATCGTGCGTACATCAGCATCTACTACCCCTCTCTTATCGTTGTGTCGTCGCAAGCTTGGTCATGTTAACCAGCCACTAGCAGCGCCTCTGGCTGTTTAGCTTTGCCTAGCAGAATGACTGGCAGCCTAATCTATGCCGATACGAGTCTGATCTTGCGTTGAACTGCTGGGTATAGAGTAATGGGGAATTTCAATGATCTACCGGGCTGGATGATGGCTCTGAAATTGCCTACTCCGGGAGGTCCAGCCGAGGTCAGCGCTACCATGCTTCCTCTTCATCCCCACAGATGCTCACAGTACATACGCCACTGTCAATGCCACATCACTTGCGCTCCTCATTCCACCGCTGATCGCATGTAAATAACAAAGCAAAGCAATGAAAATGAGCAAATACGTGCACACATAATGTACGCGTTGAGCCGCATCGGGCCGACATGCAGCTGAGGTCACAAGACGAATGATAACGGAAAGACGCTTAGTAGCCAGGCAGATGGTTCCGTAATGACTAGATGCTGCTCGGCATAGGTGAAGCATGACCTTGGCCTCGACCCGAGGATGCTGGGGTGCTCCACAGATGGGGGGTAGCCGTGGAACTATATCAGTATGCTGATGTCCCCCCATCTCTGGCTCTTGTTGAAGAGGCATTACGTCTACTACCACTGGAGCAAGTCAATCATTGCTCGTCATCTCACGTCAAGCACGCTTGAGTGACTACTGCAATACCCCCACGATACACGCCTTCGGCTGCAACCGGACATTCTCACGACACACTGCTGCTGCGGCTCGACGTTGGCCAAGCATCGTACAGCTGTGCTGTCAGTGCTCTTGTGACAGCCCCCTCAACGAGTAAAAAGCAACTCGCACGCCTTGGGCCAGCCATACATCAACGGACACCAGTCCACGTACACGGGCTTGATACATCGATAACCCAACACGTATACTATCGGTGCAGGAAGATCCCGTCGCTCGGGTCCCCTTTCTACCAGCAACACTGAATTCAAAAGGGAGCTCATCGAGCCTCACCCATTGATGTCGGTTGATCTGCGTCAAGCTTTTACCTCTCTACGCTACCCATCTCGAGTCGAAACTGTCTCGAGATCGCAGCTCTCCAAAGTCCATACAGGAGATTTAAATCGTCCTGCTCATACCTAAACACCATCAGCTAGGAAGTCGAGAAAAGGTATACCATAATGGCAGGCAATCTACGGTCAAGGCTCCTGCTCAGCCCACGACGACCCATATCATCCACAACCAGACTAATTATATCCATCTAGTAGCGTTGTTTGAACTCCAGGTTTCTTTCTAGACACACTGTGGTTCAAGTGACTAACCCCCCAACCTTTCGACGAGCCTGATAACTTAGCCCTGCGGGGAACACTTCACGGTGGCTTATTCCACGACTGTCCCAATTACCAAACGAAGCGGCAGATCCCATTTGAATACTAGTAGAAGCTTACCCACGAAACCGCAATCATGGCGAAAACCTTGTCGCCCATTACGCCAGTCGGCTGTAGTTTTGCAGGAGAAGCAAAATCCTCCAACTTGAAGTCTGCCACGATCAGGGCCAATGAAGTCCCTGGTAGCATCAAGATTGTGAAGCAAAAGCCCACCGCTCCTGCCTTGCCTCCGCTTACGCATGATGTCCGTGTCGTGACCCTTGCCGAGTACAAGCAAGCTGCTCGTTGTCTGGCCGAGGCCTTTAACCAGGATGAGGTGGTCAGGTACTTTGTCGATGTACCTGACCTTGCCCACTGGACTGAAGAGCGAAAGTTTGCTTTGCATGTCGAGATTCTCGAATACATCACGTATGCTCACATCCTCAAGGGAATGGTGACTACGGTTGGAGACTTTGAAGCAGTTGCGCTGTGGTAAGTTCATCAATTAATCAAACATTTTGGTACCAATTTTGCAAGGGATCATCAGGCTTACATGTACATTTCTATAGGATGCCACCAGGCCAGAACATGGATGACTATCTCACCATATTCCGCTCTGGCATGTGGCGCCTGAACTTCCGCCTGTCGGCTGAAGGCAAGCGTCGCTTCTTTGGCGAGTTCATCCCCCTTCTCCACGACACGATGCATACCACGCTCGGCGATCGAGAACTCGAGGCCTGGTACTTGGTATACATTGGCACTAGGCCTAGTGGGCGTGGAAAGGGCCATGCTCGCAAGCTCATTGAGCACGTCACGAAGCTGGCGGATCGTGAGGGCAGGCCGTGTTACTTGGAGTCGAGTAACGAGGCTAACCCCCCGATCTACCGCAAGTTTGGCTTCCAGGTGACGAGAAGGGTTAACCTTCAGAGGGGTGGAAAGAATATTCCCATGGATATCATGGTGAGAGAGCCCCATATGACGGAGGAGAAGAAGGGTGGCATGTAAGGTAGTTTTAGTTGGTGGGGTAGGATTGATCGTGAACAAACAGTAAAGCACCGGTTCAACAGGTGACTTTTGAGGGGTAAGATGCAAGCTAGGAGATGCTGGCTTTGTGTAGTGTCCTCCAACAGGGCCTACCTAGTGGGGAGTTTTTTTTTCTCTCTTGCACAGGTTTCTTTTCATACATATTTTAGATTACACTCGTTACTGTGGGGTTACAAGGAAACAAAGTGGTGACACAAATGCTTACAGCTCTCCTGAACCGTTGCTTATTGTGAGTGATGACGTTTGTAAGAGATAAATTGGAAGGCTCTTGACGCGACAAGTGTATTGGCGTAGTCGAATGGTGTGAGCATGAGGCGTTTCAGCAGCAATTGTGTGTGGCAGCGTCGCAATGGCAGTAGAGCATGAAGCCGGGAGTGGGGGGGGGGGGGTACGAGTATCGAGTCGAGATGGAAAATGCCCCGAAGATATGTAGTCGCTGACGCGGATCGTAATATGTAAAGTAGCACGTGGTGCCGGGGGTCCATGGGCTTATCATGGCAAAAGCAAAGAAGGGTAAGAAGATTACACGAGAGATTAGCGGTGGAGCTTGGTAGTGGGCAGTGCTGGCAGGCTTCACGACAAATTGCGGTGTCATGAAACACGCACTGCCGACGGTATCGCTGACCCAGTTGCCAAACCTGTCGCGTCTTCATCTCCTTGCTCCCTGATTGTTCACCCCTTCTCGTCCAACACTGTCGTTGTTGGTTGCCCACTGCCTACGCTCGTTGTACGCCTGCTGCTGCTGCACTGTTGCACCATTGCAAGGCCTTTTTTTGCTTTCGCCTACGTAGCCTTGCATCGCTTCAACCCCCCCCCTCCCTCGTGATCCATCCCCAATTCTTTTACCCTTTCATCCCGAATCCGCCTAATCGATAAAAAAAAAGTGGTGTCTCCCCACTCGGTCCGCATCCGCAACGCTACCTAACGCACCCCGCAAGTCTCGCCCAGCAACGCGTCGACGGCCTGCTGAAGCCAATCGTCCGCCTTGCCAGCTCACGCCCAGCGAAAGACTTTGCTGGAGCCTGCCGTTGCATTCCACGTACCATTCACTTATTGCGCCCCTATCAGCCTGCTCTCACCCTCCTCTGATCGCTGCTGTTTCTTCCTTCTTCCTCTTCTGTTCTTGTCGTCATGGTCACCCAACGCAGGTACTCCGTTACAGGCCAAACACCACCCGAAGACGCCGAAGCCATGAAGGCGCGCTCGCCCAAGCTCCAGTCTCTCGATACCAGCGTCCAAACGCCGCCCTGTGGATACTGTGACGCCGCGGCGGAATTGAGCGCCAGCGGCGATGACGGCGCATCCGAGCAGCGGAGAGGGAGGAAGATGGGCCCCAACGGCACCATTGTACGCACATCGAGCAAACGATCCGCTACCCAGCTGCCCTCGCCCAACTCGCCCTCACAGCAGTTGCCGCAAAAGATTCCGCGATACCGACTGTGCCATGACGAGCACGCCGACGTTGACATGGACTCGGACACGGACTCGGGTTCGGACGGCACGGACGGGCTGGGCGATGGGAGCGAGCTCGATGACGACCATGGTCTGGAAAGCCGGGCAACGTCTGTCCCCTCAACGCCCGACCATTCACTTGGATGCAGTGCGCTGGGCTTGCCCGAGGCCACGCGCCTCGAAGGGCTGCGGCTGTATGCGGAAGAGAGACCAGACGACGAGCACATGGAAGACTATGCACTGTCACCCCCGCATTCGAGAAACAACAGCGTCAACCGCACGCAGTTTGATGGTGCCAGCGTACTGCAGGCAGAGTGGGCGGCACATATTGCGATGCACAAGGACAAGTCGGAAACAGTGCATATTGAGAATATCGAAAACATCCAACCCGTCGAGAACGCCGAACCCGTCGAAGACATCGAACCCGCCGAAGACGTCCAGACAACCCCGACCGATATCGGGCAACCGCTGCCCACCGACACCACGCACGATCCTCTTACCTTTATCACGCTGCCCCCCGAAATCCGACACCAAATCTACCGCTGCTGCGAAAACCTCGTCGTCGACAAACCGCTCGTATACTGCATCTCGACCTTCAACGGCGAGATGCAACACCCGCTCGCCTCCGTCTCCCGGCTCGTACGCTCAGAAGCACTTGCGATATTCTACAGCTACAATCTCTGGGTCATCAAGGTAGAATTCCGCATGATGTACGAAGCGTTCCGGGACTGGATCATCCGGCTAGGAGAAGGCGCAGGGCTCCTCCGTCTCATCGCCTTATCCGTGCGGGGCTCGCTGTTCAAGCCCAAGAAGAGCCACGGACAAAGCGTGCTGATTCACGGGCATTTGGTTCAACTTGCACCGGGCATTATCGGGCCGGCGGCGGGATCAAGAGAGGAGCTGTATTGTCCGCCGGATGGCGATGCAAGTTTTAAGATTGATCTGAGTGAGAAGCATGCAGGGGGTATGGTACAACTTGTACGGAACGATGGGACGAGTGAGGCGGGGGAGAAGGCGAGGGTGTTTCTTAGTAAGATGGTTGAAGGGCTTTGGGAGAAGAGGAGGGCGGGGACGCTGAATGGGCAGGATTGGATTACCATGGTGGATAGTTTTTTGTCGTTTATTGGGGGGTGGTGACGTTTGGATCTTTTTGGATTTGATCTCACGTCTGGTGTGTCTGATGAGGAACGGGAAGAGGAAAACAAAACAGGTGTATTTGGAGGGACTTGATGATAAGTTTTTTGGGCAATCTTTTTGTTTGTTTGAAGGAGGATTCAATCATCTTTTGCGGAGTTTATAATGTTAATGAATAGCGGATCTGGGAGGAAAGAAATCTTTTATGGGGGGTAAGTAACATGTCCAAAGCGGATTTATAAAGCGGGTTTTTTTGTTGTTGTCTTGTTAATTTCAAGGGAGAAGTTGCATGTTTTTGTTTTTGATCTCTACTTTGGACCTTTTTTCTTTCAAAACATATTTCTGTTATCCCTCTCCCTTTCTTTTTATTTTGGTTGTTGGCACGATAAAGGTGCACGTGGTGAATCAACTTGCAGCTGCAAATACTATAGTGAGGAAGCGGATTGATTGATTGTATCTGTTATCGTGTTGAGTATCTACAGTACCTCCGCGCACGGGCCAATAGGCGGTGACGACGCCTTTGCCAGTGCTCGTGTCGACCAATCAGTGTCGCGGATCAGTAGGACTCAAAGTCGAGTCCTAATTGATTCCAACATTGGTTATTGCGAGTAAAGCAGTTTATACTAGTTTCACAAGTTGTTGTTTTTCGCGATTTATAATATATACCCCTTTTTTTATTTGGGCGTACGGTCTGTATTGTAACCGTATTTACCGTATTTACCTTGCCCTACTACCCCTTTAAAAATTGGGCTTGGCTAATGCTGTGTGTGGTCCAATGAGAAAAATCGTGTATACGGATATTATGTTAGTAAGTGATTAGCGAATGAAAGACTTCGATTAAAAGGGGTGTTCAGCTCTCTCTCTCTCTCGGAAGACGGAAGGACGGGAAGGACAGGCATGGGATGTGTGGGTTGATTTGAACAGGCCATTGAGCAAGTGGAGCATTCCGGGGTTCCGGGCTCTGGGCCTCCTCATCCGGACATTTTCTCACTCTGTTTGTAAGACCGGGGGGGGGGGAGGGTGCGTGCACATTTGTTATTTTGTACGGGATAAAACTGCCCATAAAGATTCTCTTTTACAACTGATGAAGAAGCGGAATGCGATAACTAGTCTACACTCTTTTCCATTGTAATCCTCACCTTTTTTTGTTTCTTCTAATTTATTTCGCGGTCACGGCGAAACCCGCTCGCGGACAATGCACCTCCTACTCACGCTCTCGCTGGTGCTAGGCGCCCTAACGACGCTCTTCTACACGCTCGAGTCCCGTCTCGAGTCCTTCTACATCTTCACGCCGGAGTCGCTGCACGCACTCAGTCTCTCGGCAATTGAGCGCCACGGCAACGATACCGCGGCCGTCGTATCCTACATTGTCGACTCGCTGTCGGCGTCGCACCCGCAGCATGTTAATCTCGATGAGGAGTGGGTGTTTAATAATGCAGGGGGCGCAATGGGGGCCATGTATATTATACATGCGAGTGTGACGGAGTATCTGATTGTGTTTGGGACGCCCGTGGGCACAGAGGGGCATACGGGACGGCATACTGCGGATGATTATTTTCATATTCTCAAGGGCGAGCAGTTGGCGTATGCGCCGGGTAAGGGGGTTTATGAGGCCGAGAGGTGAGTTTCTTGTTGTTTGTTGTTGTTGTTGTTGTTGGGTGGAAGGAAGGAGCGGTTTTAAGTGTTGTTAGTATGAGTGGTTTTGCTGACGAACGATGGAAAATAGGTATCCTCAGGGTAGCGTGCACCATCTTCGCCGCGGCGAGGTGAAGCAGTACAAGATGGACGGAGAGTGCTTTGCGCTCGAGTATGCGAGGGGATGGATTCCACCCATGTTGGGATTCGGATATGCTGATAGTAAGTTTCTTCCTGCCGTCCTTCCCCCTATTTCCAAAGACTGGGCCAAGGAGGAATAAACTTTTGTTCGGGAAAGTTGTGGCTGACTGTTTGATTTCTGTTAATAGCTTTTACGAGTACCTTGGATTTCCCGACCTTGTGGCGCACGACGGTGATTACGGGACGCGAGATGATCGCTAATTTGCTCAAGGGGAAGTTGTAGCAAGGCTTGTGTCTTGGCTACCTAGGCAGGGGGTGAGAGCGAGGACTTTGTCGTGGGAGTTGGTAGATATTTGGGTGGAAGAAAAGACAGGCAGTGTGCGTGTATATAAAAACACCAGTAAATCAGCCTGTGAAAACCCCAGATTGTGTATACTCCTTTATGTCAATCTATATGTCGTAATTGCAGGGAGAAAAGGACTCAATATTCAACATATTGGGGCGATGCTATTTAAACTTTGAGCAGCAAGCAGATTACCAGAAGCGTCAGAAACAAGCTTTTCCCATGCTGCACCCTCGCGCGATTTTAACTTTCGCCGCACAACGTTTATTTGAGCGAGCAAAAAGGAAGCGCATCATGGAAAACGCATCAAGGCTCTCGACCTGGGCCTAGATCTGGTATAAGCGAGTGAGAACGATAGCGGGGTCTACGGATGGCTAAAGGTGAAACGTCTGTGCCAGAGGCATCCGCAGCATCCGACTCTGGTGGTTGTGGCACGACTCGGGATGTTACTATAATAGGGTGCAGGGGGCTAGGAGCAGCAGAGGGAACTGAGGCAGCCACATGCGCAACTGGACGGCTGAATGGTTGGACGGGAGGAGGGCACTAGTGGGCATTATAAAGCAGTGCGTATCCGGACGAAGGACTGGAGCAAGGCATTGGAGGATTTGTTCGTCCAGGGTCTTGGATGTACGGATAGCCAAATAGGGTACGTAGGTGAGTAAAACAAGAACAAGACGTTGGTGATGATATCAAGTGGTCATGACGAAAAGAGACGAGTTGGCAGAAACAGGTGGCTGGTGTTTGTCTGCATGCAGATGGTGGCTAGTGGCTGGTGGCTAAAGCGGAAAGTGCAAAGCGCAGCGTGGAAAGTGGGGGGCAACTGCAGTCGGAAGGAGCGAGTGGTGCATGAGCAGGAACCGGGCTAGGCAATAAAATCAAGCCTTTTCCACCCGCTTGGGAAACACAACCAAGGCAGTGCGCACTCCATGACGAAGAGGGGGGACAAGCTGGAAACCAGATGGGACGAAAAGAAAAGAAAAGAAAAATCTCTTCACAGCACACATGCTCGCATATCCCACGTCGGAGCAGACCTGGAACCCACGACGATAAGCAGGCGGGCTGCACGCCATCAATGAGCAAGCAGCGGGCGGATCAGGGCAGATGGCGCGTCAGATTGGCGGCTCTGCAGATCCGAGGCATGGCCAAGGTCCACCATGTCGCCCAGAGCTGACGCGGATTTTTCTTCTCTTCCCCAGCACAACGCGCAACACCACTACTCGGGGCCCACTTGGCCGGCGTCTCGCACTGGGCCTCGCTCTCCGCTGCTGTTTCGGCCGGCGTCAACGAGGGCGCGTCGTGATGTCATGCTCGTCAAAGGCGGTACTTCTCTGGCTTGGGCCCGGCGTCGCGGCTGGGTTCCAGTTTGGGGGTGACGCATGTCAAGTGCAATCAATTGCCTTTACAGCCCTCTAACCGCTTACCTACTTACATCCAAACATAGTGCCTTCTTGCTCTGATAAGCCTGCTCCTCCGCCCCCGGCCTCCCGCCTGCCCGTCCGTCCGCTTCTGTCTTGCATGCCTCCTGCTGCCTCCTCCTCCTCCTCCTCCTCCTCCTCCTTCCCGCCCGCACTTTAACCTCGACGCTTTTACAATTTACCCTTTGGCCCCAGCCTCCCCTGTTGCTGTCTTTCGTTTTTGCGCGCTTGTCCCTTCGTCCACGACCACCGCCCACTCGTTGGCTGCCATTGAGGCCCTTGGTCCCACGCTGTGACCATGTTTTCCCCAAGATCCACAGCCACCACCCTCGCAGTGGCCCTCCTCTCGCTCCCCACCACAAGAGCCCAGTCCCTATCCATATCGCCAAACACAAAGGCCCCAAAAGATGCCTCCGACTACATCAACCCTTCATTCGCTGGTTTTGGCATCGAGCCCTCCAACCTGTTTTCCTTTACTGGTGGTGACCAGATTAACCAGTTTTCCGTCAAACTCCTACAGAACCTCGCAGACTACTCTGGCGCCCCCCCTCACATCCGCCTCGGAGGAAACACACAGGATTACATGCTTTTCGAGGCAGACAACCAACGCTTCGCATGGAACGCCAACAAGAACTCGCAAGCACAGGGCACTAAGGCTGCTGACTCCATGATTATTGGTCCCAACTATTTCACTGCCCTGGACCGGTTCCCCAAGGATACCCCCGTCACCTTCGGCCTCAACATGGCTTACATGGAGAGCGACTGGGAAACTCGCATCACCGACATGGCAAAGGGCGCCATTGATGGTATGAAAAATGTCAAGTTGTATTCGTTCGAAGTTGGCAACGAGCCCGACCTGTGGCTGCAGAACATGTTCCGCGCTGGCGCATGGAGCGGAAGCACATACACAACCCAATGGCTCGACCGCTGTGAAGTTGTCTACGAGCGCGTGCTCAAGGATGCTAACCTCCCCTCGTCCTTTTTCGAGGCTCCTGCAACTGCCTCTACCATCGGCACCACCTTTGAGATTGCCCAGCTGGTTGACGATGGCATCATGGAAGGCAGGAATGGCGACAACTTCCTCGCTACCTGGAACCAGCACGACTACTACTATTGTATGTCAACATATCCCCCCATCTAGCCGCCAGCTATATTAACAATTTGCAGTTATTGGAGTTACACTAACTCCTCTTACTCTTGATGAACTAATGGATCTCGACACCACTAACGTCCAGTTCAAGTACTGGGAGAAGCAAGTCGGCATCGCCCTGAAAACCGGCCTCCCCTATGTCCTGCGTGAAATGAGCTCCGTAGGCCCTATTGGTATGCCCTTTGTCAGCGATGTTTTTGGCGCTGCCCTCTGGACCATGAACTTTTTCCTCTACGCCGCTACCATCGGCATCTCTTCTGTACAAATGCACATGACCGACAACTCAAACGCCAGTGCTTGGCAACCTATTCCCATGTATGGCCGCGACACCAGCTTTGTCCGCCCTCAGTACTACGCCCACGCTGCCATTGCCCAAATCATTGGTAACGGCAACGGAACTACCCAGATCAAGGCTGAAAGCACAAGCGATGTTGGTGCTGGCTACGACGGTCGCATCCGTGTTTACAGCGCCTACGCAAATGACAAGCTGCAGTCTGTCACCATGATCAACGCCAAGCAAGTCAATGCTTCCTCTTCAACCAAGAACAGCTTTACATTCAACCTCAACCTTGGCTCTGACAACGCAAACAAGGAAGTCTTCATTTCCTATCTGACCGCCCCTGGCGCCGACTCTCAAACTGATGTTACTTGGAACGGCATGAAGTACGATGACGTTACTGGCGAATCTTCTGTCGTCGATAGTACCGTTGTCGTCACTACCGCCGATGGCTCCGGCAAAATCACCGTCCCTGTCCGGGATAGTGAGGCTGTCGTTGCAAACATTGGCAACCAGCTAGGTGTCAATGCTGTAATCAAGCCAGATGGTACACAGTCCAAGAAGAGTAGTGCTGCTTCGAGGTCTGTCAGCAGCGCTGGTTTCGCTGCTATCACCGGCATGCTGGCTGTGTTGGTTGGTCTAGCGGTGGTGTAATGAGTGGTGTGGGCTAGCTGTCTAGCCGTGTACGACTTTTTCCTTGACTCTCCGTCTCTCCTTTTTTTTTTCGCTCCGTCTCTCTGCATCCATTTCCTTATCTCTCTCTCTCATCACAAGACTTGCATCATGGACCTTGCATATGCATTATGACTGGCGTTTTCTTTTGGTCTTAGGTCTTCCGGGAATATTTCTATTGGCATTGTTGTTGTTCAATCAAAAAGACAACTTGGATTAATGGGTTAGCAATTGGAAAGGGCGTAGTAATAAGGGCGTCTAGAGTTGTGTGTACGTGGATATAGAGTACGTTGACATGTACGTACCGATATGGCAGGTGTGTGACAGTGTCAACTGAAAGTGTACTTGCACAGTACATGTGACTTTTATCTCTTGAAAATCATCGCAATACATCCAGTTAAAGTTTATTCTTCGTATTCAATTGATGTCAAAACGGTCCCGCAAGCCAGAACCGATACACTCGACGAATATGTTACGAGTGTGTTTGTTGTGGCAGACCTGATATGGCAAGGCCTGTTGCTCTTACTGTATATGGTATTTCATATAACTATCTTACTATTGGTATTTGCTCCTCTACCAAATTAGGCTTCTAGGCTGATTGACGCACTGAGCCACAGGGTATGCCATTTGAATGATGGGTGTGGGAGGATAAGGGGTATACGAATGTACATCTTCCTGCAAAAGAAACAGGTACAAAGGCTAGAACGCTGAAATAAATGGATGGTTTCATAGCATTGGATCCGCTACGTCCGTGACTTGATTGGTGTCTTCGGAGTAATTAGATGTAACTGAAATCTTGGAACGACACTGGAGAGGTATACGGCGTTGGCTATGTATCATCTTGGGTACCCTGGCTGTCCGGTTTTTCCTATTTATCTACTCTTTCTTTCTTTAGATTCATAGAGAAGGTTGCCAGTGACCTGCTCCTTCGCCTACTCTTAGCTGACATTCTCACGTGATTAATCGCTAGCTAAAGAGTGACGTTCCCACGCTAACATCGTAGCATCGATGAAATGAACAGTAGCAAACATCCTCAGACTATCGATTCCATCTCTAGCAGACCATACAAGCGGGGTAAAAACACTGACGATCAGCAACGGCTATCGGATCGCATAGTACGTCTTGGCGACTCTGCTACTCGATCCTATCGCATCACGACCACCCACTACCCTACCACTAGACGTGAAACACATCAAGATCTCTAAACCCTAAAACGGCAATTTTCCAAAACATCCATGTTCTCGTCAAAGAAACCTAGCAAATGAGTCAGGTCTGACGTAACCCTTGGCGCCTTCACAATGACATCATAGCATCTTCCAAAAAATTTCCCACCCCCCAAGCTCCACCCACACTTCACGTGCGATCAAATGCTTCCCCTTGTGCCGGCGATCCGAAAGTCTCAGTTATTGAGCGGGAAAAAAAAGCTGATGACGAATGATGCGCAGCTTGTTTTGGACAGCAAAGGTTGATAGAGGTCATGAGCTGCAAACTGTTATCTTAGAGCGTGTTGGCACCGCTACTTTGACAAACTTCTTTTCGCTGCGCGTGAAGGTTTTTCCTTATTTTTCAGCACCATGAAGTTTCGCGATAGAAGACACAACCAATACAAGGATGATGGTGATGAGGAGAAGCCGCCGGAGCAGGTAGGCCTTCGTGATCGGCTTGCTCACTTTACATGGTATGTGTATTCTGACGTAGCAACACAAAAAAAAGTTTGTCGTCGCTTCGGAAAGTTAGGCTAACACAAGGAACAATAGGACATGGTTTGCGTGCACAATGTCTACCGGATCCCTTGCTGTGGTATTAGGAAATACGCCAAACAAGTTTACGGGGCTACAAACTATCGGCAAAGTCGTCTTCGTCTTCGATTTAGTCCTTTTCGTCCTGTTCAGCTCATGCATGCTCACCCGTTTCTTACTTGTTCCCCGGAAACTCCTCGAGTCCCTGCATCATCCGGTCGAAGGCCTCTTCTTCGGCACGTACTGGGTGTCCCTCGCGCTGATTCTGAATTGCACGTACATCTACGGTGACTCGGCGACGGGGCCGTGGCTGACCAAGGGACTCGAAGTTACGTACTGGATGTACTGCGCTGCAGCGTTTCTTGTCGGACTGTTACAATATTCCATGTTTTTCCGTCTTGAGCGACTTAATGTTGCTGATGCTGTTCCCGCTTGGATCTTTCCTATTTACCCTCTACTTGTAGTGGGAACGCTGGCTGGGACTATATTGCCAGGTCAGCCTCCGGGTGCGAGCTGGAAGATTTTCGTGAGCGCCATCATGTTCAAGGGACTTGCGTGGTTGGTTTCGTTCTTGCTATACGGTCTTTATATGCAGCGTCTTATGACGCATGCTTTGCCCTCTCCATCTACTAGACCGGGCATGTTTGTTTCTGTTGGTCCAGCAGGTAAGTCTTTAGTCTCCCTAAGGATAGTCTACCGTCTTCGTGCTAACATCTGCAGGCTACACTGCTGCCGGACTCCTTTCGCTCGCGAATCAAGCACCAGATCAAGTCCCAGCAAACTACTTGACAACTATTTCTGTTCCCGACGGCGAAATCTTGCGCATTATCGGCATCGTCGCTGGTCTTTTCGTTATACTGTTCGCGTACTGGTTCTTCCTCGTCACAACCATTGCCGTCATAGCCGGAGCTCGCAAAATGTCGTTTACGCTAAACTGGTGGGCTTTTATTTTCCCAAATGCCGGACTCACGCTCGCGACAATACAAGCAGGGAAGGTGCTCAAGAGTGAAGCTATTAATGGCGTGGCGAGCGCACTGACTCTATTACTTGTGATCATGTGGCTCATCACGGCCGTGTTCTGTGCTCGCGCACTGTTCCTCGGACAGATCATGTGGCCTGGGAAGGACGAGGACAAAACCATGGCTGACATGCCTTGGGGCTGGAAGGGTAATAAGGGAGATGCTAGAGCTAGCAAGGTTAGGCCAGCGAGATTAGATGATGATGTCTAGTTTTGGATATATGAGCGTGGCATTAGCGAGGAGTATAGTAGGCGCTTTGAACATATAGGGAACATTATGCTTTGTCGTAATTAGGAAATTTATTTTGATGCACTTGTCGTTTTTTGTACTCTGCTCCTGATTAGACCGGAGATTGTTAAGTTCTCATTATAGGATCCCGGCGAAAGGACCAAAGTTCTCTCATCACAACTTTTGTATTCGGGGAGCGTTGACATCAGAACATTTCTTGAACAAAACAAACATTACTTCAACTAAGACAAACTTTCTTACGGATACTCCCGCCTCACATCTGCCGTTAGCACTGAAAGTATAAGCAACGGGTTAACGCGACATCAAAAGTCAATTCGAACTTGGGTCTAACGTAATCACGTCCTTTCCTCGCAAAAAAAACCCCCCCCCATGTCAGCGCTTGCTTCGTAAATCAATTTTTTTTTTCACTTTATCAATCTTCATGTTCAGAACTCAGTCGTGTCTTGCTCCTCCCCCCCTCTCTCTCTCATGCTAACTAAGAACCGTTTCACAAAGTTTGGTCGCGCTAGGTACCTTGTTTCTCGCTGGCGCCGCCAACGTACCACTTCGTGTGGAAGAAAAGCAAAACATACGGTTCTCGTATCATATGATCTGTAGCTGTACCTGATATTGTAAGAGGTCATTCGGGGGTATATTGGTATTATGCTGGTTCGGGCGTTGCCCCCGGGTACCGTAGAATAGAAGTATGGCTTGAATGGTCATGCTTTGAACGGTCACGGGTTTAAAAGAAAGGGGAAGTATTGGCGGAGGGTTGGCGGAAGGTTCTTGGATGCGTTTCTTGGCATGTACAGTTTGTTAGATTAGGTTTCTCGGTGGTATTACGTGTACGGGAAGGATTCGAGGATTGGGTGCAAGTTAAGATAGCCGTTGGGTTGAATAGAGTTGGTGAGAGATGAGTTACGATCGCGATTCAATAGACAGTGAATGGTATACCATCAAATCGTATCCAAAAAATGCTCGATGACAACTTATTGTTCCCAAGAGGAAAAATGTTCCGCGCTTTTTCTTGGCTTCTGTCTGCAGCTATAGAGTAGCTTCCGATGTAAAGTAGAGTGGCAAAGGCCAAAACGCCACAATCAATGGCTATCAACGCCCCAACCGTGCGCAACAATAAACTATCGCGGAGCCAAAGGGTCTCGGTACCCTCTACACGAGTCGTCGAACAGTATGCCAGCTGAAAAAAGCATCACGTCTTTGTACGGACGACTAGTCTACTTGGGTTAATATACTACCTACGTGTTATGTAGCAATCGCCACGGCCATCGCGAGCTGTGAATAGAATCGTATCGAAGCTCTCGGCGCGTTTCTCGGCCCCGCCTCAAAATGCCCAGGAAGCCAGGGTATCTGGATACTAGGCCAAGCCAAAACCCCACAACCGTCATCGTGAACTGTAGTCCATCTCCACCATGATTGACAGCGACACCTTGTTTGCTTACTTTTTTTTTGTCCACCTCACTACGATCAGGTTATCTCTATCCAAACACTGTCGTCCACATGGTGCACAGTCTTGCAAATCGACGAAAAGCCATCTGACTCATCTTTCGGTCTTTTGTATACACGCAAAGTCCGAACATGAAACCGCACTGACCCGCGCGGCCCAACACTTGCTCGCTAAACCCAGACACTCTATCACGAACTCTGTTCTTTTCTTTGGGTGCAAAATGTCGATCTCCTCAATCCTCAATCCGGGGGAGGGCCGAGAAAAGCGTCGTACTTATTTAGGCAGCACGGCAAGGCGCACACATACACGCATGGCAAGGACTGGACTGGCATTCTTGCCTATCCCATATGGCGCAATCCAGCTAGGCAGAAGACCAAAAAGCCAGTGAATGACGATGATGGGTTTTTTTACGTGCTGCCCAGGCTCTTAGCAGGCGGTAGACAAGAAGGTCTAGGCCTGCGGACGCTGCGACGTGAGCGGCGCTAAAATCACGAGGACTAGGCGCCCGGGCTTGGCCTCTGGGGGGGTTTCGCTGGCGGAAAGCGGACGAGAGACGAGAGTGATATTATGGGCTTTTGGGCCAGGTGGGATGTGCGGTATTGGCATGGGCATGGGGGTGCGGGGCCTTGAACGACGTACCGCGCGCATGAACCACTTATCGCCGTGGGCCGGACGCAATAAGTCGGCACACCTCAGCTGCATCGGGGAGACTTGCCACGCGTTGTGCAGGTGCGACGCCGAATCAGCGCTGGTAAGCGGAGGAGACGGAGATAGTGCCCCGCTACCCTTGGTGGGGATGGGGCCGCTGGTTGGCTGCGTCTGGGACCGGGTGGGTAATACGGTGCTTGGATTGTCGGGGATAGGGTTTTGGGTTGGTGTGGGCTACATGGGTGGAGCTTGGGGTGGTGTGTGAGTGGCATCGTTGAGAGAGCGATAGGGCGTCTGTTTTGGCTGGGGTGGTCTGAGAGTTGACAGTATATAGATGGGTGCTTGTCCCCCCACCTCCATGACTTGGAAAGCCAGAACATCGTGAACTTTACACTCGACATCTTCATCTTCGAGTCATTCAACAAGTAACACATACTACTACTACTACTACACTACTACTACACTACTACTACACTACAACAACCACAACATCAACATCAACACTACTACTACCATCAACACCATGTCTTCTCCAGCACCTCAATACGTCTACGTCCCCAACCTCGTTGGAGGACAAATGCTCCGCCTCCCCATTGAAGACCTCTCTTCTGACAGCGAGTCCACCATCTCCCAACAACCCATTGCCAGCCCAACCCTCTCCTCACGATACACCCGCGACTCGTCCCCTTCGCCAAGCGTCGAGAGCGTCGAGTCCGAGGAGTGATGAGCTCATCATCCGTCCCACGTGGGGAGTAGAAGTAGACACAGACACGAGAGAGAGAGATCGGAGAATGACGACAAAGGGCCTTTTTTTTGGCAGCCCAAACCCACAAAAGTCCAAGAACGGCACAACAAACTGAAACTAGCGAGCGGAGAGGAAGGAGGGGAGGACCCTTTTTGCCAAGTCCCCGTTCACACACGATGCAGAAGGATAAGATTACTACCCTCCGAGTCAGTTAATTACGCGCGCACGGAAGAGAGAAAGAAAGAGAGACAGGAATGACATCATTTTCGGTCATTTCTCTCTTCTCTTTGTACGACCAAACCCAACCCTTTTTTTGTTACCCAACACGATATAACGCACGCACCTCCCTTTTTCTCCTTCGTCAATTTCCAACACAGAAGAAATGACTGTGCTCATTTTCTTCCCCTGATCTTTGTCGGCCCGACAGAACGGATTGGAGAAGAATGGCCACGTGGATGTGGGTGTAGATGTGGGAGAGTGAGATAAAAGGGTACTCTGGGGTGACAAAAACAAAAGGTCGGCTTTTTTAAAACCAACACACGCACGCACACACAAACCAAACTGGCACCTTTTTTCGGTTCATCGATTTTTTTTTTCGCTTCCTTATTTTTCCTTCTTGGTGGTTGGGATCAGGCTTGGCTTGCATAATGGGAATGCGCGGAAGCAGGAGAAGGAAGCTTGGCTTCGGTTAGAAGAGCGAGGGGGGGGGGAAGAAGGCGGCGTGGGAGTGGGAGGGGGGCATGGGACGATCGCTGCATTGTTGGGGAAACAGAGCACGCGGGCTACTCTTAACCCCCTCCTCTTCTTGGCCGACCCTGCTGCGGGGATCTTTTGTTCTTTCTTTGCTTTTGTTACCCTTTTGATGTTTCCGCTTACCAATAGTAAGCTGATTCATCAGTGCAATTGCTCCAAGGGGTGGGATATGACGCAGAAAGCATTTAGTTGGGCCGCGCCCCCTCAAAAGTTGACCGAGAACAATAATTTTAATAGTTAGTACTAATGCAAAACAAATGTCGTGGTATCCTTTGATTTGTTTACGAGGTGTGTGTGCGCAACATGTCTTGTGACAGGTAAGCTTGGTCCTTGCAGTGTGACAAAGTGAACCGTGCATAGGATTATTATATATGGGAATACATGTATGGGTAGGGTTCGGGCCTGCACAAGCTCGGATACTCGGATGCATCGTCATGCGTGAGGCAGCAAAAAAGAAAAGAAAAAGGCTGCCTGACCGAAAGTCTGGATCTCTCTCGCTTCTGCCTTTCGTTTACTACTACTAGCTTACGGGGACGAACTATGTGAGTATATCATGTGATGCAAAGTCGGTGATGACGATGTGCGTACTACAAACAGGTTCCCACCATCGAAGCACACATTGTATTTCTTGCATGTCTGTGTGATACGTTGCTGCCCGTTGCCCCCAAAACCTTAATGTTCAATAAGAGTCAGTCAAGTTGGGCCACGTAGACAACCTCGCACACGCACGGTTACTACTATGCCTATCCAGGCTTTTTGTTTTTCCCATTCCTATCTCCACATGCGTTTTGGGGGGGGACGGGGGTTCATCTTACACATATGCAACTCTTTGCTGTACTTACTGCACACTGCATCTTTCCTTGCATCCGCACGCGAAGAATGCCAAGGTTGTGGAGTGCGCATGTCAAAGTACCATCGGCACCGATGCCCAAAACCCTGACGTTCTCGATGCCGAGGCTGGATGACGCCTGACTTCACCATGTGTGGTCCATGCTTCATTGTTTTTTTTTGGCAGGAACTACCTGTGTGAGCGGTGTGGGTGTTACCAGAGATAAGAGGCTAGAACCTCTCTACCTCTATAGCGATTGATCTGGCAAGATGTAGATATGATGCCAGCGTGACAACGTGAGGATATTGGGCAGTACTTGGCTCTTGGGATCGTGAGTGTATGCATACAAACGTACCGATGGAACAGGGTGATGGCGAAGGAAAAAGAAATAACGTTATCACAAGGTGAGGCGAACCCACGATACAGGTGAGACAGCTTTGGATGTTTTCTAGGAAGAAGTCCGAGCCAGTCGATCTCGTGAGCCGCGGCGCTGAAGTGTCTGCATGCACCAAGCACTGCACCTCATCGTTGTGGAGTGATTGTTTTCACGATCATGCATTCAGATAACAACCATTGCGTTGTTCAAGTGCCAGCAATTGAGTGAATGCTTGGCACAGAGTGGAAGAGTGATCGTGAGATACGTCATTGAATTCATGTGTTCTGCTTCTTGGCTGTTGACAGGAGGTGCTTGAACCCCCCGTATTCACAATTGATTCGATGGACAGTACCGAACAACAATTCACCATCTCTGAGCAGAACTCGGAGAGAGCGCTATGATCCTTGCAAAGTACACGGAGACAGCTAACTGTTAGAATATTGCGTTCCATTAGAGTGCTCCTATAGTCAGAGACTATAGATATGAGTGTGCTCAAGCATAGCGAGGGTGTAGAGTGCTGTTCAGCATGAAGTGCTACTAACTTTGGACATACAGGTACATTACGCAAGGGGTGAATCATATATCACGGCACAGCAGGTCATACTGCCTCATCCTTTTCACTTGCGCATTTCCGGCTCTGTTGTGAAAATAATCCGTGTGTAGAGCCAGAGTGACAGTGTGAATGATGAAAACAAAGTGAAGATAACAAACCTGAACATGTACTGGCAAACAGACCGCACCATGTATAAACTATCAGTGAGCCGTTACCATTATATTATACAACACCCATGATCCCATAATATCCTCATACTAATCAAAGTCAATTTGATCACCAAGCCCCCTTACACCAATAGAACACCGTCATCCGCAATGATCGTCATCACCATCCCATACTGGTACTACCAAAAAAACCCCGTCTGGCTCGAACACCCTTACGTTCCACGCTGCCATAAAATAACGGCTGAGTACATTGCTCTACCACCTCCAACTGACCCTGTCATAACTACTCGAAACAACGCCATACTCAAACATGTCAAAGCATGGCATCGGCGCATCTTCAACCTCGACATGATCGACCGTGGGGTAATGAGATGGTGGGCTGAGTACGAACCCGCAGCAAAGCGCGACTCATGGGACGACGATATATGGCGGATCTGGCAGGAAGAACATGGCGTTAGGATCGCGATGAAAGAAGCAGAGGAAGAGGCGGAAAAGAAGGCCGTCGAACGCGAGGGCGAGAGCAAGACGGATGCAATGAAGAGGAGGGTGGATAAGATTGGTCCGTGGGCGACAAACTCAAAAGAGGCGGCAGATGCGGAAATGCGACAGGCTGAGGATAAGAAGAGGCGGTTGTTGGTGGAGGAGGAGGAGCGGGACATGAGACAGTTTGAGAATGCACAGGTGGGTCGTAATGCCTCTGAGGTTTCGCTGTCCGAGTCGTTTATGACGATGCTTGAGCTGTCGAAAGGCGGTGCAGCGTAGGAGTTGTATGAGCCGTTTTTTTTAACTTTCTGGGACTCCATAGATGTATCAAAGGTAGGTTGTCTTCGATTTGAATAACGCCATGTGATCCCTGCAGATTCCAGTCATAGTCATCTTCAACTTATTTCCGCGCCGCTCCTCCAGCACAACCATGTATGTCCTTCTTTTCTATCTCTTTATTTTCCCTCATCTTGCTCTTCTCACTCTTAATCCGCTTCATCTCCTCTACTCCACTGGTGAGATTTCGATGCGAGACCCTGACTTCCCACTCCCCTTGCTCACACCACCGCACCTGTCCCAGCTTTTCTGCAAACGCTACACTGCGATGATGTCCGCTCCCGCAGAGACATCCTACCCTCACAATAGCCGTCTCACCTGCCCGAAGAGCCCTCACGTCTTCCACCTCCATAAGACGTCTAATGTCGCTTTCCGCCCGTGTAACCATGTTGCTAAACGAGCTCCGGCTCATAAGCTCTTCTTGCAAAATGGCATCGAGCCCCGTGCATGTTTTACGGAGTTCTTCAGATGGGTTGTTGGTTATGCGGCAGTCGTATTCAAGGTCGGGTGTCGGACTTGGTGGAGTGAAGCGATCATAGGACGTGATCTCGAGGACGGGCCGTTTCGGTTCCGGCTGGGACTGTTTTGAATTTTTGAGATTTTGTTTTGATGAGGATGTTTCCTCTTCCGTAGGAGGTACTAAGCAAATATCCTTCACTTTAGAGGCGACTTCTGATATTATTGTCATGTTGTACGGGAGGTCGGGAAAGTGACGCGTGTGAGTGGTAGTGGTAATTATCAGTCAATGGGTGCTTGCTGACCTGGGGGACCAACATATATTCTTTCGACCTGTATGAACTCTGCAAATCGACTGGTCCAAAACACGTTCCTTTCTGGTAATGCTAGTTTGGGTAGGAAGCTGGCTTACAATCATGTGAGCTACAACCACAGAAGCCCTGAAGTTTCGTTGGCGCATGACGTCGGGCCCCATGTAAAACGCGTCATCATACAAGAACATCACATATTGTTTATCCGTCGAAGAATTGTTGCTGAATCTTCCCCGGATGGAGGCCAGAAATTTGACTCCGCAATACTGCGGTCAACGCTTCGAACAAGGGCGTTCTTTGAGTATCAATGTGTTATAGTTCTCTCACTTATTCGAGGGTTCTTCAATTTTCGGCTTACTCTATACAACCTCCTCTTCAAATCGACTTCTAGTAAATCCCCCGAACTCCTGTGACTATCAATAGCTAAAAATAGACGAGGGTCTTCAAGAACTTTCGGCGCGTCTTTGATCTCCTCACCCAACATCCAATCAGGTCCGGTAACGTCATCCAGGTCGTGGGCCGAGTGTGGAACATCCTCATGATCCTTGATAGATTGAGCAGACCTTGGGACTTGATCTTCAGTCATTGGTTCTTATCGTGTCTCGCGACAGGTAACTGGACTAACAGAACGAGAAGCGTGTGTTTCTGAAGTGTAGTCCCTAGTGATCCACCACCCCGCAGAAGAGGTCACGTCGGTCTCCAAGTGCAACGCATGTTGCTGCTGCTCTTGAGGTGCGGATTGCATTGGCTGTATATAAATTCCAGTCCACTGGCGACGCGAGCCATACGAATAGGATTTGCTCCAGGCGGCGTTTCTGGTGACGTAGTAGACGTGCCGGGTGATCTCAACGTCTATTCAACATTGACCGCTGAATACGATCTTACAATTCGGGGCTAGAAATATGCCGCAGATTCCTTACCCGGATTCAAGCGAACTCGTGTGAGGCCTATTGCCTATTCTCGGCAGTTTTTGTAATAAGCCTTGGCTAGAAGAGTGACCGTGATCGGAATTGTAATGGTAAAGTCCTGCGCTGACGAGGTAGGCAGCATTTTCCTTGGTCTCTCACGCGCTTTTTTAGAGAATAGGGGAGAGGGAACTGCTGTTGAATGACTGTCGGACTGAGGCAATTCAGTCTCCAGTGCTTCAGATGGAGTTGTCGGGCGTTTGACCAGACTAGCTGCTGATGATGGGCCCGGCTCGATAATAAGTTTCTTCTTAACAGGGGTCTTTGGAGTCGAGGGCAAAGAAGTAGACAAATTTTGATAGTATTCGATCAGCTGTGAAACTCTGTTCGCCTTCCGGCAATGGGGAGGCGTCTGGTGGGGGCTGGCTGGGGGGTAGTCCATGTCTGGGGTAAGATCGGAAACCAAAGTAACTGAGAAAGTTACAAAGAGCGGATGCTATAGAATTCGCAGAAAATATGGACGCAGAGAAAACTCTCGTGATCGATGTTGCGGGATCATCGTGACAGAAGGGTAAGAAAGTGTGAGTGCACCACATACGATTAGTAATCCATTTGTTTGTTGTGAGGGTGAGGACCACCCATGGTTGAGTGCAGGCTATTCCAAGGCTCGGAAGACCCTGTAATCATGTTGTAAACCTTATATGTGGTTGATTTCTGCTCATAGACCCTAGATTAAGATGGTTTTGTCGAAGAAGACATCGCAAGCGTCATTACGCGTGACCGCTGCAATGACTTTCGCCACTGTAGTAGAACATCCTTAGTTTGACTTCGCATACCACTGTAGCTGTCAAATCCGGAAACTTTTGAGGCAAGCACGGCACTTGTTTGTCAAACATCGACTTCGTTCTATTCCCACAGTACTCCGCAAAAGGTACAAGGAATGGCTCCAATTTTCATATCATGCAGTAGCGTGGGAATACGTACCAGGAGTAAGGGCAGATGAAAGGCCGATATCAGTTTTGTTGGATCAAAGACGGGGCATTTCGTGTTTAGGGTACCGGGTTGTGATGGACACAAATGACTGCATGCGATGAACGTGGCCATTGTGAATGATTAACTTTCATAGACTGATATGTCCGCAATAGACGAAATCATTCCGAGAAGGCCCTGACAATGTATACATAACCAGGGATTGAGTTCAGTGGTGTTTGTCTCGGAAGCAGGTCTGGATGAAATCTGGGGAAACTATGGTCGGAGTTAATCCTCTGGTCTTGGCGAATGACTCAATCGCCGACGACCCCTCCCTACAAAATATCCAAAAGTCTACGAAATAGTAACACACCCACATTTTACCGCCAAAATGAGTGCAGAACCTGCGGCCAAGACGAAGCCCGACTTCGACATTGTCGCGACCTATCGTCGAATCCTAGAAGATGATCCCGAGCTTACTATGCCCGTCGCGGCCATCGAGGCGCTCGTCGAAGCAATCGCACAAAGTTCCGTGTCAACCGTCGCCGAGACTCTCGATCTTCTCGAACGCCACACTGCCGCGCTGAAGGCTTCAATCGCAAACCCCATATCTCTCTCTGCCGGCACCGACCTCTTCCAGCGCTATCTTATTACCACCCTCAACCGCCCCGCCAGCCTAAATCTGGGCCCAGAAGATGATTTCCGTGCGATACGAAACCACTTGCTCTCTAACGGAAAGCTGTTTGTGGACAGAGCAAAGCAGAGCAGGGAGAAGATAGCCAGTTTTGGCAAGCACTTCATCCGGGACGGCGGCACTGTGCTTACAAACGGTGGCTCGCGAGTAGTGGGTGCGCTATTGAGAAGGGCGGCCGAATCAAGCACTCTCCGCTTCAAGGTCGTATATGTCCTGCCATCTGAAAGCTCGCTCGATTCAAAGGAGGGGTTACAGACGGTTGCCGATCTCCGAGAACACAACGTACCGGTGGCCACGATCCCAGACTCGGCAGTTGCATACTCGTTGGGCAAGGTCGACATGATCATTGTGGGCGCCGAAGGAGTTGTAGAAAACGGAGGAATAATATCGCGCATGGGAACATACCAGCTGGGCGTGCTGGCCAAGAGCAAGGGAAAGCCATTCTACGTCGTGGCCGAGAGCCACAAGTTCGTCAGGCTCTACCCGCTGAGCCAGTTCGACTTGCCAATCGAGCAGAAAGTCTTGGACTTCAAGGTGGCCGAGGAAAACAAGGCTGAGCAAAATATCAAGGGTGAACAAGAGCAGCGTAATGTCTTCGACGAGGCCATTGCTGACATGACCGCAAAACAAGGCTCGACAGTCGCTCCGCTCGACGCACATGACGCCGTTGATTTCACTGTAAGTTTCGCATCGTACAGTTCATACATGATGTACTGACCCAAAAACAGCCTCCAGATTTGATCTCTGGAATCATCACTGAGTCAGGCGTCCTCACTCCGTCTGCAGTCTCGGAGGAGCTGATCAAGATATGGTTCTGAGCCCTCTCTGAGCACCAAACTCCTCACACGCTCCGAATATATCTACTCAGCTGATCCTTTCGTCAAGTCCAACGGCATAGTGAAAGTTACTCACGTTAGTGTTAGGAACTACCTCGATGTGGAAATCTTCACTCCGCGCACTTAGCGTCCCCGCCACGACTAACGCAGCACATGATGAGGCAAATCACCGTGAATCAAAGAACAGGGTGAGTGCCAAGACCATTTCCGCGGTCTCGGGACGGTTTGTGTATTGGTTGGTCTGGATCGCCACTCAGCAACAGGCTATTAACGGCAAAACGTTATTTTGTACAAGGTGGCACTGGCTTATGATACCCAATAGAGACAATTTGGTATCTCTCAGTTTTCAAGAAGAAGACCACTTCAAGACGAGATATATCGTTTTGTTGCGGTTGTTCTATACATAAATCCATAACTCTGCTATCACCAGTAGCCTCTGCAGCTCATCAACGTGACTACCTGGCCTCCGGAATACCCCAAAACCTTGACCGGAATGGTCTATGTATTCCCAGAATGGTAAAGAAGCGTGAGTGAAACCGGCTCATATGACCGCATGTGATCGGGCCCGCGAGTGAACAAACACGATGTGCACACTCACTATAAAATCACTCCAGCAGTACTGATACTCCTTTGCTTTCTCACTCAACTTACTTAACTCATTTAACCGAATCGACCAACTCAGTCAACTCAGTCAACCCTATCAACCCAATCAACTGAACCAACTCTCACCATGCTTTCACACTACTCAAACCTCTTTGCCAAACCAAAGGCTCAAGCCAACCAGCCCCGTACTTCAACTACCTCTCTCTTCTTCCGCAAAAATGACACAAAACCCAAACCCAAACCCAAACCAACAACCAAGAAACCAAAAGACACTCGCAGAACTCCGAGTCTTGTATCCCGCTACGTATCCTCCCCTAGCGTCACCTCCATCTTGCATCTATCCCGCAAACCTAAACCCCAGCACATGTCTCGCCTCGAGCCACCAAAATACTCTATTGGGGTACACTGCTCATCCAACAAAAACACACGCGGCGCTCGTAGTAGTACGGGGCAACCGGAGTGGTACGTGACGTACCGCGCTATCATGGATGAGGAGGAAAAGAGGAAGAAGAAGGTGCGCAAAGAGGAAGATAGAGCGTGGGAGAAGGAGGTGAGGAGGGATAAGGAGAAGTATGCGAGGGATAGGTTGGGGAAGGAGGGTGTGTTTGCGGATGTGTTTGTGTTGTTGGGGTAAGGGTGGATGGAGAGTCATATTGGTTGTGTGCTGAATGGAAACTCATACGATGGAAGCGGAGGCGATACATACAGGAGAGAGATATAGAGCATGTGGGATGGTAATGTAGAAGTGAGCGGTAGATGGATAAATGGATATCATGCAATCATGCATTGCATTTTTTCTCTTTCTTGTCTATGTATATCTCAAAATCTTACTTTTTTAGATGCAAGTGCCTAAGCAGTGTGGAATCGTGGGTATCGCTGAAAAAGGAGGAGTGATGAAACTGAAGGTGTAGGTCGGACGGATTTACAAGGCCCATCCGGCCTTCTTCTTAGCCGCCTTTGTTGTTATTGTAGGACCAGATGGTGGAGGTGGCTTGATGTCGTTGAGGTCTGGTAGGGGGTCGTTGTCTCTGATCTCGAGGATTGTCATTTGAGAAGCGAGTGTTGTGGATGCATGCTGCTCGCCGTCGTCTTTCAGTTCGGTTTCAGCAGAAATATCGTCACCAACTGGTCCACCTTCATTGTCATTGTAGTCTTCAGTCTCGCCGTAGTCTTCTTCAAGACCAGCTTCATCCTCATCTTCGTCACCAGGCTCGTTACCATCCACACCTGATTCGGCATTTACAGCGTCACCGTCAATACCGTGCTCCTTCATGTAAACTTCCAGTTCCTTTGCCATCTTCTTGCTGAAACCAGAAGCCTGCACCTCGACATCCAACCTCTTGACCAGCTTTTTTGTCGCATCCTTGAAGAACGGGCCGGGCTCGTCACTTGTGAAGCCAAAACGACGATCAAAGAAACGCTTTATGCAGGCAACGTCGCGGTCAAAGTAGTATTCGGCGTTGGCGTGGTCGATGGAAACCATTTGCGGGAAATCGATAAGCGTAGGTACCAGGGTCACGTTGCCGTCCTTTTCTGTGCGTTCCTCGACAAGGATGTTAAATTCATTGAAGTCTCCGTGGATCAGACCATATTGTGCAAGACGGACAATGAGGGCGAGGAGTTCAGCGTAGAGAGGCGCAGGGTTTCCGACCTTGGAGATCTGGCGCATGGGAAAGGCATCGATGAGGCTCATGACGACGGTGTGTCTGTTCTGGCCGACAGGCTCGGGGACTGGAAAGCCCTCGGCTCGCAACGCCTTCATGAACTCATATTCTTTCAGGGCGGCGAGACGCGACATGTACATCCACGAGCCACCTTGGCGGTTCCGCAGATAGTCACGGTTCGCTTTGACTGTGCGGAAGGATATGCGGCCCAGACGGTGGATCTTAAGAACCAGCTGCTTGCCCGTCTCGGAGGCACACACAATAATATCCGACTCCTTGCCTATGCCAATCTGGTTGCCAACCGAGTAGACGGTAGCGGCCTTCTGGTGGGTGTGTAGGGCGAGGTAGTCGAGGCCGCCGTACGTCAGGCGGTAGCCGTCGTATTTGGCATTGCGGACTTTTGCGATGAGGCCAATTTTGGCCAAATTGGAAATACAGCGGTGAACGCCAGTGCCTGAGCGGAGAGCGGCAATCTGGGAAATCAGAGGCGTGGGCACAATCTCATGATTTCGACTGCCCATTTCTGTCTGTCATGGTCTTGATCAGCGTTAGTCCCCCCACCATAGACACAGACGAAGACACGGGCTGCGGGCGCATACCGCAGTCAGGGCGCGCCAGTCATCGGCGGTCAGGTAGCGAATGTTCTTGACGTTGAGCTTCATGGCAGGCGTATTCCGACGGCTGTCCGGGTGAAGGTGAAGGAGGTTGCTGGGGTTGGGGTGAGTGGAAGAATATAATTTTTGGATGGTTCTAAGGCAAGAGAGGGTCTGAGCGCCTGCTGCCGCCGCCGCAGCTCATCATCGGCGGACGGTGCTTGGCCCTAGCGCGGCGGAAGTGGTACGCGAACGCAAGAGCTGCCTCGTTGACATCAATCCGCCCATTACCACTCCCTCTCACCAGCCTTAAAGCTGCTCCCGTTTCATTCGAGTGGCGCGTATACATCTCCCATCACCAAACGCAGTCCCCTCATTACCGGCCGTCGACGCCGCTATCTCCCCGCACAATAGACATAGTTCGCCGCCGGTGGTAGCGACATATCGTAATCAACATGGCTAAGGACGACGACAAGAAGCCCACGACTGCCGACAAAGGCAAGGGCAAGGCGCCAGCCGCAAACGATGCAGACAAGAGCAAGGACGCAAAGCCCGATGCAGAGGACAAGAAGGGCGGCGTGGCGACGACTGGCGGTATGTTTGGCTTGCAATCAAGCTGAGATGGTAGCTATCTCGGAGATTATATACTGACGGTCAACGACAGAGGAGCTTAGCGAGGAAGATCAACAGCTCAAGAGCGACCTGGACATGCTTGCAGACCGAATACTGGTATGTGATACTGTCTATCCCGTGCTCCCCGCAGCATGCGCTGACCTTGTCCTCTTCTAGGGATCCGACACCAGCCTGTACAAGCCCGCACTCGACCAGATCAAGGAATTCATCAAGACATCGACGAGCTCCATGACCGCTGTGCCCAAGCCGCTCAAATTCCTCCGACCACACTACGAGAGCCTAGAGAAGGCCTACGCATCATGGCCAGCCGGTGAGAACAAGGTACGTTGATGTGGCTGCTCAAGGGCGCAAAGACAGGCTAATTGGAGAAAAAGCAATCGTTTGCCGATATGATGTCCGTTCTGGGAATGACATACTCCGACGAGGAGCGCCTGGACTGCCTCAAGTACCGCCTCGAAGCCCCCTCCACAGATCTCGGCTCATGGGGCCACGAGTACATGCGCCACCTTGCGCTTGAAATTGGCTCCGAATACCAGAACCGCCTCAATGACGACAAATCCACCGACGATGTGACCGACCTCGCCTCGACCCTCGTTCCCTTCTTCCTTAAGCACAATGCCGAGGCCGACGCTGTCGATATCCTGTCCGAGCTCGAGATGATTGACCAAATTGAGCAATACGTTGACGAAAACACATACTCGAGGGTAGCGCTCTACATGGTCAGGTATGGACTCTTCAAGATGTACTGTAGTGCACTTTACTAACCGTCATAGCAACGTACCCCTGCTCACATACCCGGACAATGACAAGTTCCTCCGCACCACCTACCGCATCTATGCCAAATACAAGCAGTACACACAGGCCATGGCGATAGCCATACGGTTACACGAGAAGGAGCTGATCCAAGAAGCTTTTGATGCCACAAAGGACAAGTCCATTCGCAGGCAAATGGCCTTCCTTTGCGGGCGACAGCGGATATGGTTCGACGTATCCGAGGACGAAGACCCTGAATTGCAGGAGTGTCTTAACAACACCCGCTTGCCTGATCACTTCCGAGCGCTTGGCAAAGAGCTAAACATCCTGGACCCCAAGTCTCCTGACGACATTTACAAGACGCATCTCGAGAGTAGCAGGACCGCCGGCCTCACCAACACCGACTCCGCCAGACACAACCTCGCTTCCGCATTTGTCAATGCCTTTGTCAATGCGGGTTATGCTAACGACAAGCTCATGCTGGGTGAGGCTACTAAGACTAGCTGGGTATGGAAGACCAAAGACGAGGGTATGCTCTCAACAACCGCGTCCATGGGTATGCTTATGCTCTGGGATGTGGAAGAAGGTCTTGACAGAATTGACCCCTACACCCAAGTCGAAGAGGACATGGTCAAGGCTGGTGCCATGCTCGCCACTGGTATCTTCAACTCTGGAGTACGAATGGACTCTGACCCCGCCATGGCTCTCCTGGGAGACGAGGACAACATAAATTCCAAGAACAAGAACATTCGCTTGGCTGCCATCATGGGTCTTGGTCTTGCATACGCGGGGTCGAACAAAGAAGACCTCCTCGACGTCCTCTTGCCAGTGGTCAGTGACACCACTCTGGACATGCAGCTCTCCGCCATGGCAGCATTGTCTCTTGGAATGATTTTTGTCGGCTCCGCCAATGGAGACGTCACAGACGCCCTGATGAACACTCTTTTGGACGAGGACCGAACCAAGCAACTCAAGGACAAGTGGACTCGTTTCATGGCCCTTGGTCTTGCTCTACTCTTCTTTGGCCAACAAGAAGAGGTTGACGTCATTCTGGAAACATTGAAGGCGCTCGACCACCCCATGGCCAAGTCTGCCTCTGTACTCACTGAGGTGTGTGCGTGGGCGGGTACTGGTGCTGTGCTGAAGATCCAGCAACTGCTACATATCTGCAATGAGCACATTGAGGACGAGAGCGAGGAGAAGAAGGGCGACGAGCTCCTTCAATCATACGCGGTCATTGGTCTTTCACTAGTCGCCATGGGCGAGGATGTCGGCCAAGAGATGATTCTGCGCACCCTCGGTCACCTGATGCATTATGGCGAGGCTAACATCCGTAAGGCTGTGCCTCTTGCTCTGGGTCTCATCAGCCCTAGCAATCCACAGATGAAGGTCTACGACACCCTTTCAAGATACTCTCACGACAACGACAACGATGTCGCCATTAACGCTATCTTTGCCATGGGTCTCTGCGGTGCCGGTACCAACAACGCTCGTTTGGCACAACTTCTACGACAATTAGCCAGCTACTACCACCGCGACCCCAACGCGTTGTTCATGGTCCGCATAGCGCAAGGTCTCTTGCATGCTGGCAAGGGCACGCTCTCGCTCAACCCATTCCACACTGACCGCCAGGTCCTGTCTCGCGTCGCAGCTTCAGGTCTCCTTACCGTCCTTGTGTCTCTCATTGATGCCAAGTCCTTCGTTGCCGGCGACTCACACTACCTCCTCTACTACTTGGCTACCGCCATGTCACCGCGCTTCCTCATTACTCTCGATGAGGAACTCAAGCCACTCACAGTCAACGTGCGCGTTGGTCAAGCAGTAGACATTGTGGGTCAGGCCGGTCGCCCAAAGACCATCACTGGATGGCAAACACAGAGCACACCGGTGCTCCTAGCACACGGCGAGAGGGCGGAACTGGAGGACGAGAAGTACCTCAGCCTAACAAATGTACTAGAAGGTGTGGTCATTCTGCGCAAGGTAAGCTAACTCCTTTTAAATTTCTCAATGATGCAAAAATGCTAACGTAAACAATTATAGAACCCAGAATGGGAAGACTGAGCGACACGATCAAAGCCAAAAAAGGAAAAGATCAAAGGAAAGGAACGAAAAAGAAACGTGACATGATTATTGGCCCGCTTCTGCGTTTCCCTTTTTATCGTTTTGTAGAACATGGGCAGCATTTGTGCACAATCGGCACTTTTGTACATCCTAATAGATTTACGCAGGGGTTTGTTGCCCTTCTGCCTTGCATCATATCCTTTTGCACCGTGTCTATATTGTCTTCTTTTTGGAAACTACAGTGATTGAAGGGATTGCACATTAGGAGTAAGGTCAACTGTTGAATATGCATACTGAAGTGGCAAATACAGATTACCATCTCGTCAAGACGTATACGTATGTTGTATCCTGTATAATGTATCCAAAATCATGGGCAATCCATCTGACAAGCAGTCAAGGCCATCATTGACAACCCCTCACGAGGAATCAATCTTTGCCCACGTAATGACAGCAGGGTACGGCCTGACCGTGATAGCCTATGCTCCCACAACGGCAACGAGAGCTGGGTTGTGCGCAGTCATAGAGCACCAAAGTCAAGCATACGCCTTCAACGGCAACCATGGTCAAATTAAACAGTACCAAGAAAATGCATCATACGAAGAACTATCGAAGCTACGACAAATTCGACCATAGAAGCCACCCGTATGAATCCTGCCGTCGCCATCGATGAAGAAACAAAAGAGATATCCCGACTAACATCCTAACATCTTTTTGGTTCACTGGTTTGCCCAGATACTAACAAATACTTCTAAAATGTGAAAGAAGAAGCCGCCCAAGCATAGCCATTAGAGGGGAACGCGAGCCTGATCTGGACGAGAAGGATATGTTCCAGGTGCCGAGGCCAAGGACAAAAGTATTAAGGGCCCCACGGCGTGAAGATAGAGACGGGAATGGGTTGCAGAGATGAATGTCAAAAGCTCAAAGCTTCAGACACAGTGCTGCGATGTGACGCATTGAGATAACGGGTTCCAGGCAGCTCGTGCTCATAGTATGCGACCATTGCCAAAGAAGTCTCCAAGAGAATACCGCAGTTCGATGCTGATACAGCAGTTGTGAAGAATAGGTACGTGAAAGGTGACTTGGAAAGATGTGCGTTCAGTCGTTGCGGTTGGAGAACCGGCTTGGTGAAGCCGACTTGTCGTCAGCCTTGATCGGAGTTGCGGGGGTTGTCTTGACTTCAACGCCATTCTCCGAAGTACCATCGTCACTCTTGATAGGTCCACCCTGGGGCATGTAATATACGGATGACCTGGCGGGGCCCAGTGTAGATGGTACTGGGGGCGACCATGGCTGCCGCTGGCCGCGCATGAACATCTCGAATTCGTTGGCGTGGCCTGGTGAAATCGGGGACGCAGAAAGGTAACGATCAGGCGTTCCCAGAGCCCTGGCCTGAGCAACGCCGACTTCATACTCTGCAGCACGAAACACACGGCCTGCAGCAGTTTGTTGCTTCAGCATCTTCTGCTCGTGTGTATCTGAGAAGCGGATCTGAATGAGATGTTCCTCGCCACCAGGCTTAGACACAGGAGTGTTGTTGAACTCTTTGATGACCAGGTCGCAGATGTCGCGAGATTCAAAACTAGTGACGGTTAGTGATGTTCGAGTACTGACAAGAGGCGTTATTTCTTACCGAGCAAAGCCGACGCCACGGCCAGTGCCAGAAGAGTCACGGAGTATCCTGCTTGAACACACCTTGTGAGGTGCGAATATTGAGGCGAGTTCCTGGTTTTTGTTAGAGACGAGAAAAGAAGAGTTCTGCAGTCACTTACATGCTCATTCATGTTCTTGGGGATGTTGGACACATAAAGATTGGTGTTGCTCTCATCGGCGAACTTCTTGAGCTTGGAGTAGAAGGATTCCTATAAGAGGTCAGCAAGTCATGATAAGTGCTTGGGCAATTGGAACATACACGAGCGAAGCTTACTTCATATCCAAGATAGTGAAAGCCGCGAATGCAGTCCTCAGCATCCTCAAAGTTATGATATTTGATGAAGCCGAATCTGTATCAACGAGTCAGTAAGCACAGAGGTGTGACGAGTAATAAGTCACTTACCCTTTGCAAAGATTGGTCTTGAGGTCAATGATGGACTTGGAGCTCTGAATGTCACCAAAGCGCTTGCCCCACATATGAAGCATCTCATCCGTAGTCTCAGGAAGCAGCCCACGGATGTAGACGTTCGTTTCACCAGTCTTGTTCTCCAGGCTACGGTCGAGTGGCTTGTGTGGGGAGCTAGGAGCAGGAATAGCCCGAGGAATAGGTGGTTCTTGGTGCACCAGCGCCAACAGATGTGGAGGCAATGTAGGTATGGTTTGCTGCTTCTGTATCGGAGCCATGACCTGGTAGGGATGGACCAACTGTGATGGAGAAGGAGTAGCACTGCTCAAGTAAAGTGCGTTTGGAGAACGATCCATGATAGCAGTGTTGTTGCCGTAACGGTACATGCCTCCACCGCCGTGAGGCGTGCCAGGGTTGTCGTTCTCATTGGAAGAGATGGAGTCACGGCGAGGCGTCATGAGCGACGGAATCTCGGCTGATGACATACGAGTCGCCCAAGCAGGTGGGACAGGGCTATTGTCAATGACGCCTTGGCCATATTGATATGCTGCCTGCTGAACGTACGTGCCGGCATGGCTATACATGCCAGGAGAAGGCGTCATACCGGCTTGATGCTGGGCGCCAGGTATCATGGGATACATGGATCCGATGACATGCTGGTTTGGGACCCAGAGTCCCTGCCCGTTGGAGATTGGGATGTTGCCGTAGTCAGAAGAGCTGCCTGGTAGTACAGAGGTGGCAGGCTTGGAGGTGCCGGATGATCCATAAGAAGCATGCATGCCGAGGGCTGTCATGTTGTTTGTCAGACCTTGCATTCCATTGTCACCATGGGGGGACATAGGCAGACCTCGGGGGAGGTATTGGGCGGACCCATGACCTTGATTGTTGAGCATATGCTGACCCTTGTATCCGGCATTAGGAGCCACGTAGCTCTGTTGACGACCGTTGGCAGCCATTGCAGTGGCTTTGCAAGGGAAATAGACTGGAGACAGAAAAGACAGTTGGTGGAAAGAGTGTTGTCGCGTCCTTGAGCTGCGAGTAGTTCTGGGCAGACTGAGGATGCGGACCTCGGGGGAAGACGAGGTAGAGTCTCAACAACGCGTGCGAACAGGAAGACTGAGATGCAGAGAAGAAGGTTGCTCTGAGTAGAAGGTTAACCTCTTTTCCCAGTGAGCGGGGTGTGACGTAGTGGAACCGTATGGTGACGAATGAAAATGAAAGGGGAAGACGTCGTATAGTGACTCGAGAAGTGCAGGGGAGCTAGTAGACTCGAGACGGTGAAAGTGAAGAGCCACCTGGCATGGTGAAAGGGGCTTACCAGGTCGTAAATGTCAAGCTTTTGCAATGTGCGGGGGACTGGTAGTGACTCCAAAGCTGTTGGACCGTCAGCATCGGCACGATAGATGATAACAAGGCATCGAGGTGTGTTAAGATGGATGACTGACCGGCGAAAAGCTACAAAGAATGTGGCCACTGATGCGTACTGGTGAGAAGGAGACGAAGAAGAGTGGAGGAGAGACGAAGAGAAATGGGAGGACGAAGCCAGATGTGGTACAAGAGGGCGGCGCCCAGGCGCTGCAGAAGGGAAAGAGCCACGGCGGTGTTGTCTTGGTGAACATGGCGGTGCAGACACAAGTGGAAGCCTCGCCCTCGACAGGGAAGCCGCCCAGCAAGACGGAGGTAGAGAGCAAAGGGACTCACCTTCCTAGCAATGCAAATCCGGAAAATCAATCGTATCGACAAGATATCCACGTACACAACAACGATGAAAGCACCTGCGTTCCGGTGGCGGCGGATTCCGTTTAGATGTCGCACCGGCAAATGCCTTAGAGAATACTGTTGAAAGAGCTATTGCAAGTATTGATGTCAGAATCTGGCAGTCATGAAATGTGTGGGCTTTTGTTCCATCTTCTTCACTCCGGCGGAATGTTGGCCTAATTTATCACATGAGGGCGTTACGTCGTGGATCTGTGCATGACGATGCATTTGGCCTCGTGAGAGAAGCACGAAAGCTGTAAAAGGATGTGGTATCAGCCGTTGTGTATCTTGCGTGCATCCCACGGACGCAGCCGTCACCTCCCCGTGTGTAGCAGGAAGACGACATGGCGTCTCCCTCCCCGCAGCAGCCAAGTTTCTACCAGAAATAACGGCACATGCAGCCACACCGGCCTTGCAGCAGGGCTGAGAAGCGCTGCAACAGAATCACAACCGCAAGGCTTCGTTGCTCGCCACTGGACATCTAAACGCTACTAACATATCTCTTTTCCGTCACTTGAGATCCGTCGTACTGCCCTTTCTGGTGCGGATTTGACTTGTCGTTTTGTGACTTGTACACTCCATCCAGCCCTCGGACTCGCGCAAAGACCTGTTTCCCATGTTCTTAGACGTGTGTAGCTCCTGTTTGAGGACTTATTAGCAAGCATCGTGTTGGTTATGCTACACAAACAGGACACTCCTCCTTTCATATCATCTTGCCAGCTTGTTTTCCACCCGTGACAGCATCCCAGCCGGTGCATGTGCAGCACGCTTGTAACCCGCGCGATGAGCCGGCGCCGTGCAGCCAGCGCCGTCTGTGAAGATGTGGATCAAGAGCTCAAAGCGGATGCGTGGAGACCCGCACGATACCGTTGAGGAAGCGCCTTCGAGTGATGAGAGCCTATGGGACGCCGGATTGAGAGTCACCAGCTCCCTTCCTTTAAATATATTTGGTACTTGGCGGTTTTCTGCTATTGGTGATGGTAATGTAAATGTAAGGGCGGATCCACAGGCTTGGGACTACCCAGCCCCTTCGAGCAGTGCACACAACGTCATTTTCTCGAGAAACAAAACCATCAAGCCCACATTATATGTGCAACGCATGTCCCGGGAGTTAGTGACGAGAGAGGCTATCCAAGTTTGACCAGCACATGAAAGACTTGAGGTGCAGCCAGAGCAAGAGATCATA